TTTTTCACAGATTTTTCACATACACATTCGCACTGTTAATTGTATGGGACAGCCTTCCTTACGGCTGACGTCTACTCATTTCTCTATCAATTTAATCTTAGTATTAAAGGTCTCCTTGTAAAATTCTTCTCAATACATAAATGATCGACTACATAACCAGGTTAAATACCTAAAGGTTGAGGCTACATGCGAAATTATCTGGTTATTTTGAATCATAAAGACGCTGTTTCGTGCGCTTGTATGCAAAGTCTAAAACACCATCCTCCTTCTCATTATGAACCGGTCTATTTTCCCACAGTCTCAAAACTCATGTAGCTCTTGTTTCTCTAGACACCGGTAATTGTTTTTTTCCTTCTATAGTCAGTGCGTACATATTGATTGTCTTTCAAAACGCGTAAGAATAGCATAGCGCTCCCTATGAACAAGAGGACAATACAGTACTCTGATTGGTTAATGGGTATTTTATTACTCTCATGTTGATCATATTACTGGATTATTGGTAACAATACCCTATCATAAATTTGACCTTTTCTTCTCACCCGTGGCATTTGCGAGTGAGGCCGAATAAACACGGAAACACCCGACAATGTTTGCGCTTCGGTTTAGCGCTGACTGACGAATTGGACAGTTTAGTTGTAAAATGTTACATATTTATTTTTGTGTGTGTTGTATTCATTAATATCGTTAATAGAGAATATGTGATTTTGTTTTCTTACGGTGAAATTATGGCCATTTCTCCAAAACCATCCTGATAGAACTCATTCAAGACAAGTTCTTTGTTAACAGCTTTAGCAAGTTCCACACCAACTGTTTTGAACACAGAGACTGTTCAATGTTTCATGAGGAAGTGATTCCACTAGATATAAAACAAATACCGTCCGTATTCACTATCTCTCGGCTGTATACAAACCTTAAACAAACCACAAAATACATAAATATTATTATTAACGATAGAAAGGATATTTTCTTTTTCCACTTTAACCTTCCGATACCACAATTTGACCTTCTATTGTAACGTACGACCTACATGTTAATCATTTATACAACCATAGAAATAACGCCCATATCTACTAGATATCCCAAAACATAATAAAACACCTTGTAGAAGTGGACAGTAGAGTACTTAGTATGTGCATACATAAATATCATAAGTACTTAGTATAAGTGGGGGCCCTTTAATACAAAAGTAACATTTAAAAAATCACGTTTCAAATTGCTATTTTTACCACAACGTGAATAAAATAACGACATAAAGAAGAGTATGTTTGTATTACTGTATCAGAGAGTAAAGAAAAAAAAGAGGCTAAACAATGTCCATAATTATCATCAATCTCAACCTACCTCACCTCCAGCACAATCTGACAGGTCACGTCAGACCGACCTTGCGCGAACTGTGACTGACCAATGGAATGACCAATCAGAAGGCAGCTTTCTCGTGCTTTACGGCACTAATTTCTAATTGGCGACTACGCTTCGCAATATATTTTGACAAATTCTCGATTACAAATTTGAAACCTAAACAAAAGAACATTCTGGAATAGCTAAGAGATTGTCTAGATTGTATGGATTCAGTCGTTAAACCCGTAACTATCGTTCGGAATACCCCGTGTTAAAGTTTTCGAGGTTGTATGATTAGAAATCACATTCCGACTGTCACTTTCATGATCTGGTAAGCGTAGCTCTGATTGGTCGGATGAAAGGTCGTTCTGGCGTGACCCCCAATGGGATGTCTTCAGATCTTTTTTTAGCGGTAGCGAGAACTAAGGTCTGATTTTAATGAGATTGAATCAATCTCTGCTTGAAAGTCAATGAAAGGATTTCGACTTTATCATTAGCATGTGTTTATGAATCATTACGAAGAAGTGATGATACCAGGTGAGCTTTTTCTGCCCAACCGGTGGCACCCATCACGAATACATGCAAAGGCAAGTTAACTGCTCGTCTGAAAAAACGGGAACATTTGGTACAAGTCAAAACAGGGAATTGCACATGACATCATTTTGGCCACTGGTGCCTGAAATTTGCAAATGGCCTCCACATGTCTACATTCAACAGTGTAGAAAGTTTTACTAAGGCCGAGTCATGCAACGCTCGCTAAAATCTTCGTGGAAAGAGCACGCTCGATTCTGCCTCAAAAGTTGTGAAATGTACACACCAAAGGCTGGAGCTGCTGGAATATTGCTCGAAATAAATTTATGATAATATTGTGCATGTATTGTAGGTACGTTACATAGTAGTAGGCATTTCCTTGGGTTTTTTCGGCCTTCATACGTCCTTGTTACATTCAGATGGGGCTGTGGGTTACTCTCGAGTACAGCAACATGTCGATAATAACCATATCTAAGCTAACAGGAGATGCCACGTAAAAGGGGATAAAATCTTGTACCATACAGATAGGCTGTGATTCCCCTTCGAATAAATATATAAATCGACACAACCAGGAGTCTGACGTAGATACAAATAATGATCGGTTAATACGACGGTATGATGTACACCTGAGTTTGTGAGTTACCGAATAAACCAAAAAGTCGACACCATATTTAACATGAGGTTAGATACCATCTTGTAACATAAAACGACAAACATGAAAAACCTTCGAATGAGAAAATATGTCGGGACAACCAGACCTCTTTAGCAGTTGAGCACGCAAGCACTAAGACAATGGTTGTTGTCGCGGTACCTGTCCCACTTGAACTTGGTCTTGTCTAAGATCATGCAACAAGCATGCTACTTACATTAGTAAGTATGAATTGTTTACGAAAATACTGTACACGCTTTCATGTCGCAAATCAATATGAGAACAAGTGACAAATAAAGATACCATTAATTGTCATTTGCTTCAACCAGACCTAACGCAAAATGAAGGGAATTCCGTCGGGAGAATGTCTTGCTCCACTTGATTGGACAATCTGAGCGGTTATATGTCAGACAATAGCGATGAAATCTCGAGGTGATTCTGCGAAACTCTTCTTCTGAGTGATAATGGAATCGTTTGTTTGAGGGATTCTTCCCGCATGTGTTGTTTATGCCAACTTCCAAGTGCTGCTTAAGTGAAATGTTCTAAATGACATTAAGGTCATTAATAATATCGCTTGAAATAAAAGTTCTTGTGTTTCACCTGTCTCTCGGTTGTAAATGTTTACTAGTGATGTGTCTGTTCAAACTTAGGGCTATTGTTAGGGACAACATCTTCCACCCTGAACCCAATCAACTGTTACTTTGTTCAGACAATACAATACAAGACTCCGCACGTCCACGGTGTTGGTCGGAAGCACTGCTCTACCTCTGAATGTGTAAATGCTACGGTGAAACACACAGTGTACGCACACCAGTGTAACGAAATGAATATTGATCAGCGCCCGAATACGCTACTTAACGGTTTCTGTTGGTATCATAAATTTACCTTTTAAACGGTATGACTTTTCGAAAATAGACAAAATGGTTTCTTCAGGCTCTGTAAAATGACACCGTTTAAAGTTATTGTTAGAGTGAACTATTCAATTATATTTACTTCTTCCAACTGTAAAATATCTAAATAGGAGAATAAATTCAACGGAGCTCAGCGGAACTAGAATGAGGTACTACTAATGCATACCAAAGCAGAATGGAACAGTGTTAGAAATCTATTTCATTGTTGTTCATAAGGTATAGGCTATGTTGGTCCCCATACATTTAGGACTGTGTGAAACCTACATTGACCACACATTAAGACAGAGCCGGCAAATGACATGCTCTAGCACCAATAACAAAGCTGAACAGAACTACAGCCTACACAGAGCGCGGGTCAGGAACGAACTTGCTTTTACCAATAATATAATTTATTTGACGGTGAACGAATAAATTATTTCAACGTGTGTCATGAAAAATGAAACGTCGCATATATATTTCATCATTGCGTCTTTATTTCTATGAATATGATAAGCCATAGCTCAATAGTACTGATTTCCAAAGATACACCTTTATGTTACGGCGTCAACAATATTCACTCCCTTTCACTAAACACAGGCAGGCTTTCTGCAACACATCCTTTCCGCTGGCTCTTTACTGTCTCGCCCGGTGTTATAAACATTTCAGACTTTCAGACAAAGCGTTTCTTCTCCGAAGCTTAACCCTTCCCGTATCTGTTTCTGATTATCAACCATCATGTCTTTCTACCCGTTTCAGTAATGAAGCTGTACATACAAGCGCTGTTTGTGATCCTGAAACACTCCCCTGTATTTATACCTGTTCTATGTTTCAGAAATGAAGCTGTACATACAAGCGCTGTTTGTGATCCTGAAACACTCCCCTGTATTTCTACCTGTTCTATGTTTCAGAAATGAAGCTGTACATACAAGCGCTGTTTGTGATCCTGAAACACTCCCCTGTATTTCTGCCTGTTCTATGTTTCAGAAATGAAGCTGTACATACAAGCGCTGTTTGTGATCCTGAAACACTCCCCTGTATTTATACCTGTTCTATGTTTCAGAAATGAAGCTGTACATACAAGCGCTGTTTGTGATCCTGAAACACTCCCCTGTATTTCTACCTGTTCTATGTTTCAGAAATGAAGCTGTACATACAAGCGCTGTTTGTGATCCTGAAACACTCACCTGTATTTATACCTGTTCTATGTTTCAGAAATGAAGCTGTACATACAAGCGCTGTTTGTGATCCTGAAACACTCACCTGTATTTATACCTGTTCTATGTTTCAGAAATGAAGCTGTACATACAAGCGCTGTTTGTGATCCTGAAACACTCTCCTGTATTTCTACCTGTTCTATGTTTCAGAAATGAAGCTGTACATACAAGCGCTGTTTGTGATCCTGAAACACTCTCCTGTATTTCTACCTGTTCTATGTTTCAGAAATGAAGCTGTACATACAAGCGCTGTTTGTGATCCTGAAACACTCCCCTGTATTTATACCTGTTCTATGTTCCAGAAATGAAGCTGTACATACAAGCGCTGTTTGTGATCCTGAAACACTCCCCTGTATTTCTACCTGTTCTATGTTTCAGAAATGAAGCTGTACATACAAGCGTTGTTGGTGTTCCTGTTGGTAGCCGTGCTGACGGTAGGCCGCGGCGAGGGCTGTGTCGTTGGCTGCATGCGTGGGTTGTTTGTTTGTAAGCGGCAGCTCCAGAACGGCCAGCTGGAAGATAAAGACCCCGCCTACTGCTGCGACAACTACAAGAAGTGTTATTCCGAATGTAAACCGGGCAAGAAGTACATACCGTAAGCAAACCATTTGTTTGTTTGTTTGTTTGTTTGTTTGTTTGTTTGTTTGTTTGTTTGTTTGTGCGTGCGTGCGTGCGTGCGTGCGTTTGTGCGTGCGTTCGTGTTGTTTCAGATGAGGGCCGCACCCAGCAATATGCCAGCTGTATTTAGCATGAGCATCGATCTACTTTATCCGCAAGTCTGACCACACGATCCCCATGAGTCGCCTCTTACGAAAAGCATCTGTTATTGAAGACCAATTCTAACCGTGTTCAAGTCTGGACCAAAGAATCCAGTGGTTGACATTATGAGCATCGATCCACGGCAAACGATGACATGGAATCAGTCAAGTCACTGAGCCTGACCACCCACCTACTGGGTCGCCTCTTTACGCCCAGTATTTGTGCCCGGAATCCTTGTACTGTATGGGGGGTGTAGCGTGTAAGGAATACCAGTTTCATGCAGTCTGCGTTTACCAAAGACAGCTTGTACTAATATGCCTGACAAAATAGCAACAAACGAGGTATAAACATTGACAACAATATGGAGGGAACGTGGCAAGCGATACAGAAATGTTGTCGCCGATTACTTTACATCTTCCCGAGGGGGGTCCTATTAAATACAGTCCGGGGGCTCCCGGACAACCCCGGACCCCCGTCAGACGTTCCCGGGCGTTAAATAGTTGGACCCTCCCGAGGCAAGGAAGTTAACTGACTATAGAATTATGGAGTTATATTTTGTCTGGACGAACGAGTCTATGCATAGTCGTTATTAAAATCAACATCCGGTTCGTAAATTTCCGTGCAGAATTTGCAATGCATGTGTACCGTCAACTTGGCATCAACAGATATTTTTTTAATCTTTTCATGTTCCTAATCAAGGTGCGAAGTAAGACCCGTTTTATTACAATATAGATGTCGATTATCGATAAGATCATCTTCACTGGGCGCCGCCATTTTGTTTGAAGCAAATGCAAGTGATATCAGAGCGGAATCTGATTGGTTAGTTGGAGGGGACATAGAAGGGACATAAGTCGTAATAGCCACTGGTGGCGCTACGATCGAGTCCAGAAATTCCAGCCTAGTTCGGCAAGGGTGCAAACTGGACCTTCACAGTCAGTTAACTCCCTTGACTCGGGAAGTTGATGGGTTGCCTGAATCAGTTATGATGATGCGACTGTTATGGCCGAACCTCAGACAAAAGGCTGACCATGTTGGCAGTACGCTAATATTTTAAATTTCAAACTGATATTTCTATACGCTTTAAATGCACACGTAACGTGCACATCCAGACATAGTCTTCATTGTCTCTTATTAGATTATTATATTTTTTACACGTGAACACCAGAACACCAAAGTATGTACCGTTAACAGTATTTCATAATTCTGTGTGTATTTCAGATGCAATATCGGCAAACGAGGAAGCTGGAACAAGAGGTACGACGACTCTCAGTTCAACCCAATGTTCAACCAGGAAGACCCCTACTTCTTGTGAAAAACGTCATCACTTTCTGTGTGCATGATCACGTGACAATTCTTCCATCTTTCATTGGATCCTATCAACACGATCCCCTAGTCGCTTATGAAAGTCAACAATAATTTCCGCCATCTGCATAAACTGCTGAACATTGAACAAAAAACTCTTTTCCTTCATCGCACACTCCCCTTTTCGCTGGCACGATTTTAGTTTCTGGGGTGAAGTTTGGAACTTATTTTGTCTATCAATACAGATGGTTAATGAAGTTCAGCATAGATAAATACGAAAAGAAATAAAACTGCTGTCAATGCAGGTTCGGCAAAGCGTTTCGCGGGCTGAGGAAACAAATGCATATATTTTAAAGTTGCACTATGGTTGAATAAATATCTGATGAAGTGGAAACGGTCTCCTATTTTTATTTAGCTATTCAACTTTTCGCTTGGTTACCCATTTACCAAAATGGTCATGGCACCAGCATGAAAAGCGGGCACGGGTGGCCGAGTTGTTTACGCGCTGCACGTAGTGCCGATCGTGGGTTCGAATCCCACTTAAATGGTAACCGTCAAAGACCTGTTGGAAATCATAAGAAAGCCTGCTAAAACCAGAGTAATCTTATTACAATATTATTGTGAGCCAACGTTAAATATGTTCTATACAAATACAACCACTGGCAGTTTTAACAGTTCGGAAGAAATTTACATTTCACAAATGTAGAAAGATATTTACAGATAATTGATTACTTCGCGGACACGTTATACATTAAGGGAATCTACCAGTGACATCACACAATCTGTGGGAAAACATGTGGAAGTTCTTGCGTGACTACCTGCATCTGTCGGCTGCGAGCTGTAGGACGTTCCCATGTCTGTCATACCCACTTAATTTGACCACTTACCTCTAGCGGTTGACAGGCGATTTCAATCATTAATTTGCGATTTTAGGTGAAATTAATCATATCTATGCAGAGGTCATTGATTGAGACTCGATTGCAACTGGATCACTGAATCACCCTCGGTTATCGAGTGAATAATATCGTATGATCGTTGTTCTATTACGATAAATACTTGGATCAATTCGCCATCATACCTAAAACATCTCTTCTCTCTCTAAGTAATTTGAATGGACGGTTATTTTTAGCGCCGTGTCCTTCTCATCGGGCTCGAAAACGAAGCTATGGTGGCGATTGGCCCAAGGTATTTATCACAATAGACTAGACATATAATGCACGGGATTACAGAGGATGTACTTTTCGACCTGCTAATACTGATGAAGCGAGGATTGGTTTGGGACGATTTTAGTAATACAGTTAAATCCACTGAACGGTCCTGTTCCATGTTGGATTATCCGGATTGACAAATGTTCGGATATAAGTGGCAATGGTTACGGAACAATGCCCTCGTTATATATGTAGACCTCGCCAACAGTAAAACTATGTTCCATGTCAAGAAAGGGTTTCACACATTGTACCAATGTCGGGATTCGAACCCAGACCATCAGCGGGAATGGCTTACGCTAGGCTATACCCCCTTGCCTGATATTAAGAAATACAAAAAACAGAAGTTGCAGCGAGTTTACCGCCTTCAGCATAATAACACAGATTGAAATAGGTGAAATGGGTTTTTTAAGTTGTGCTCAAGATAACCTCACTTATATAGCGACGTGCATTCACGTATGTAGGTTTCTGCTTGTACAAGTCCGGATGTATGTCGGTTTATAGCTCGCCAACTGACATACCGCAGTTTACAATGGGTGACCCATGAGACACAGTATACTTACCAAACCATCGATCTTCCGCTCTCCGTGCAGACGCTCTATCCACTACACCACGGAGGCGGTCCAAGTTGAAATGATAGGAACCACTACCCAAGAACATCCAATCACCTTCGGGTCGGTGCGGTTGGCATGTCAAACACTTGCCTCCCGTAACAAGCGTTCATCGTTTTTCTTTCTGACAGGGCGGTGCGGTAGCCTAGTGGTTAAAGAGTTCGCTCGTCTCGCCGAAGACCCGGGTTCGATTCCCTACATGGGTACAGTGTGTGAAGCCCATTTCTAGTGTCCCCTGCAATGATATTGCTGGAATATTGCAAACCCGAAAAACAAAAGGATAAATCCAGTTTTTAAGTGTGGACTTTCGCCCGGCAGTTCATAGCCATAACACATGAGTCTGCACAGCTCGTGGCCCGGTCTGACCAACAGACTGTCATTCCATAACACAGTCCCTATTTTAATGCCGTGCGTGTATTCTAAACTGAAACCTCGTTAATCTGGTAAATATCGTCGCTCTTGTAATCGCCCTGATTAACGAATGTTCCAGTAATTGGTTATGAATTAATCATCGAGATTCTGGTTTTCCGAAGTAACGAGTTCCGGACAAACGAGGTTTCATTTTGAACATAGATCGAGCTCCTGTTGTCACTAATACGGTTTACACATCTCTCTAAGGAGGAGTGTCTAGTGAGTGAGTGAGTGAGTGAGTGAGGTTCTACGCCGATTTTATTCCTAGCATGTCTCGGCGGGGAAGGAATATCCAGAATATTGGGGTTACACATTTCACCCATGGGAATCGAACCCGATGTGTCCCGCATAGCGTCAAAGACTGTGACCATAAGACTACCCTGGTAACACAACGGGCCATGCACACGAGAAGTCATTCTATTTGTGTTTAAATATTAAAACATATATTGCTTATGAATACGGAGAGCTCTTGGCAACACAAAAATTCAGATAAATACCTAAATTGAAACCTGAATGGTCTTGCTAGCACAAAAAAACTAGGGCTGCGAGTGGGACCCTAGGTAAATATCTCTTCAGAAAAAACGTACAGGATCCTATACAGAAGTCGATGTTACTTCGACCATACTTTATCCTAGATGTTCAACGGGATGAGGTGGTGTGAGGTGAAATGGGGTTTAAACGTCGCGTCCAAGATTATTGCACTTATATAGCGATGTGCATGCACGTGTGTGTGTGTGTGTGTGTGTGCGTGCGTGCGTGCGTGCGTACGTGCGTGCGTGCGCGCGCGCGCGGCTGCTTGTACTAGTCCGGACTGATGTCGATTTATAGTGCTAGCACACTGAGCTATCATACTGCAGTTTAACATGAATACCCCACTCAGACAAAGTATACTGACTCCGAGCCGACCAGTCCTTGTTTTAGCCCCTTAATGCCGAGCGCCAGACAGGGTAACAACAAGTACCATATTTTAACGTCTTTTGGATTGACGCGGCCTGGGATCGAACCCCGGACCACGGAGGCGGTCTCAACGTGATGAGATTCAACACCTTGTAATATGTTTCTCCCTGTAGAAACTGCTGACAATTATTAATGATTCATAAATCGGAATATATTCATACAGTAGCCATGGCTCAGAAATGCCACGTCGTTCGACACATGTTTGTTTGCATCTGGAACAAACCCGCCGCGATGAAGATAACGTTGGTCTTCACGTTATACTGTGCGATTTTACACTAAAACACCCTGGTCTCTGTCAAAGAGGTCCATCCCCATTGAAAGCATGTTTCTGTCTCACCACACGACACGTACATAAAATACTACTTAAGCAGATGCTCACTACCAGTATAGAAAGCATAGCGAACACGTTTGACAGTTAACACATGTGACAAGTTATGAGACCAACGAATTTCACACTAGTTTATATTGGACTCCTGTTGAATATACACTGTAATATATACTTATAAGGTCTTTATACCTTATGATCTGTTTAACGGAGTAACTCAATCGGTAACAAAAGCAAAATGTCTCTCCTTTCACCCGTCACTCGAAGAGGGAAACATGATATTTCTCTGGATACATGTGATATCCTGTACCTCATATATTGCTTGGCTGAAATCGCATCACAATGCTTTTCAGATCATTTTGATGACAACGGTTTCCATGCCGTCACAACCAAATGGCATCACATATCTTTCTGCCACTGAAGCTGGTTAACTCTACTCTTTTTACTCATGGCATTGGTTATTACTGTTGGAAGTTGGGTGAATGATCTGGTATGATAAATAGAATTTCGTTTCTTTTGATATCAAACATATCAACACTCGTCGATAAAACTTTAAAATGTTATCAGGAGGTGTTGACTGTTTTTTCCTAAAGAAATACATTTAACAAATTGTTTTTTCTGGGGAAAGAAAATATTATATAACAAACATGAGTGAACTATATTATAGGGACCGACAAGACAAAGGGTTAGTTCCTTTTCCTAATCGGACTGGTATTTTCATAACTAAAATGAGAGTGGATGGGAAGAGAAGAAAAAGTTTTTTAATTTGAATTTGATTTCTTGTCGGCGGATCAGGAAACACCTACGACAAAGTTTTAGGTAGATGAACTAGGCGAGTTTCAACTGTACATAGCAGGGGAAAATAGCATGAACTGTGAAACATAGTCAACAACTCGATCTACATTCATAATACTAAATAGGGACTGTTGAAAAAAACATTGCCTGCCACAAAAATTACATTCTTGCAAGGTATTTTTCTATAAAGAAGCATTCAGGTTCATAGTTTAAAAAAAAAAAAAAAACGCCTGGTAATGTACCTTTAGCTGAAAACATATCTTATCTCGTGTGAATTATTGTGTGATTAATATGGTATTATAATCCCTCTCGTGGTTGTGGATGCCATGATTCAACTTATACTGGACTCTCAGTTAATGCCAGTTGCGGTTACAGTATCCCCTCATCCCTCCCTCGCTTCATATTAGATATATTGCCTAAATGTCACAACTGGGGGCTACGAAGGGAGACAGTTAAGCGGATTTGTGCTGTTAGATTTACAGTGCAGTTATACATCTACGATTGGCTATAAATCACAAAATATGTTGTATTTAAGAAATAATTATTCTCCCTGCAGTGTTTTATTGTACGATACACAACGACCACGAGTCGTTTTTTTTTTTATTTGAGATATCAACATTATGTACAGCCTCTTGATGACGATAAAATGTACAAGCTTTAAAAAATATTTACCTTTATCATTTAACTTAAGCATTTATCCATGACATAAGATTATGACATAAAAACATGTCTCGGCAAATACCGATTAACTAAGACTCGGTTGATATTTCCCATATTAAAAAACACTCGTGATGAATCCTCTATATATTTACTGAGCGCATGTTCGAATCTCCAGAAATATTTTTTTATTGTGAAATTAACCACTCTTCGTTCTCTATTGTTCCTTGCGATTTATCGCGTGGCTAATACCGGTGCAGTCTCTTCCCTTATCCCTTACCTCCAAATACGTTTGGTTTATTTCATTGAATGTGAATTGTGAATAAGGATCCTACATCGAGAAAGACCGTACCAGGTGGTGTTTTCGAGAGGCCGCCATCTTGTTTTCGGAAACTCGTACAGGATTTGTTTTCGATCTGAATTCAAATTCAGAGTTCACATTCAATAATATAAAGCAGACAATGTGCGCTTGTGGATAAAAGGTGTGACCAGCAGTTGGATGAAACATGGGGGATGTATAAACATCGACTACACTTGGGCATGAATTGATGATGATTGATAATGTTTCATTACGCCACAGGCAGGTATTTGGGAATTGTGGAAGGGAAGACTAAGACGATACACTTAACCAAAATTATATGAGTGAGTGAGTGAGTGAGTATGGCTTTACGCCGCTTTTATTAATATTCCAGCAATATCACTGCGGGGGACACCAGCAATGGGCTTTACACATTGAACCCTGGCTTTCGGCGTGACGAGCGAAAGCTTTAACCATTCGACTACACCACGCCTCTAAAATATATGACTTTATTCACATAAAGATATACGAAATTAATTCAGTTGTTTTGTGTTTTGATAGCCACATATAAACATACAGATAATGTCCATAAGCTCTCAAAATTCACTCTCTATGCTGAATCGTTAAAAAAAGGATTAAATTAACTAAAATGTTTCTTCAAGTAGTGATTATATATATTTCAGATGTTGGTCTGTTTTTTTCTTAGGAATCGCCTTAGATGACCCTTTAAACAAATAACACATAAGTCCAAAGTAAATAATAGGAAATATTAGAGGAGTTTCGAACAAGACAAACAGTTCCGTTATCAATCATTGTAAGAACCATCGACTGAATGAGGATATATATTTATGGAAGCGATCGGGTGTTAAGTCTTCCATCAAATTGATAGACTCATTTCTCCGTGTTTCCTTTTCACATTTCAATAGTCTCGGTTGTATACGGAACTCAACATCGCCTCTAACACTCGTGGGTTATATTACGACTTGTTTCAGTCATCGGGGTTGTGTGTGACTTGTATTGATGCCAATGTGTAATGTGAGATGGTCATCGATTTCAGGGTATGAAGACACCGGTACTGGATATTGAATATCGGAATAACTCTATAAACGGTTGTTCAATTCGACCTGTTTGTATAGGATTCAATATTACATCTTTATTATTGTAGTCATTTGTTATGAAGGGACAGGTAGGGACTCCGGGTTAGAATATAGACCCCCAGTACTCCATGTTTGCCTCAGGAACTGGCTGAAAAGGGTGTATGGGATCGGCAGGGTTTCTGACTTGGCTCATTGGCTCAGTAACTGAAAGCCTGTATGTTTGTTCTTTCTCTCTTCTTTGTTGTTTAACGCCGGACTCAGCAATAGTCGAGCTTGGGCCAGACAATCCAGTGATTGACATCACGAACAACGATCCACACCATCAGGACACGATGACAAGCAAGTCACAAAGCCTGACCACGCGATTCACTACAGTACACTCTGACGATGACCCTATGCTACTGCAGTAAAGACCATTTCTACCCCAGAATCCTCATGTGTCTGTAATGACAAACTAGATATAGTTGGAAGCAATGGCGTATTGTGTATAACTCTGTCTTTTTCATGAAACAGACCAAGCTATCAAAACGTTTTCTTTCAGTGACCGACCGACCGATCTGGGTATTCGATCCCGGATATCCAGTGGGACGAGTAAAAGAGCCAACATTTAACCACATGGCTACCCCACCGCTCTTTCTCTTTGAAAGCGTAGCTATAAACGTAAGAAATGTACATTTATATATGTATGGTGAAAGCAGAACGATTTAGATATGCTGCCATCAATTAATGAAACTCTACCCAAAGGAAGTTTTAAAATTTAAAATTTCCATTTGGTAGACAAAAATCTGGTATTGGTAAACCTATCCAACATTTGGAATAATGTCAGGCACCAGACCTTAACATTCCTGCTCTATTGGTTCTTGAAAATGATGTGGCTATTTTCGGTCATGTTAAAACATAACCAATTATTACCTGTCTGCCGTTACAGGGGCAAATTAGTGGGTGCTACAGTACTGCTCTGTGTCATCTCACTACAGCGGTGGGTACAAATGTACTGTCCTGTATTTCGTCACTACATTAGTGAGTGCTACAGTACTGTCATATATATCCTTACTATAGTAGTGAGTGCTACAGTACTGTCCTGTATTTCCTCACTACAGCAGCAGGTGTTTCAGTAATGTGTATTTCCTCACTACAGTAATTGTTGCTACAGTACTGTCCTGTATTTCCTCACTACAGTAGTGGATTCCTCAGCACTGTCCTGTATTTCCTCACTACAGCAGGGGTGCTACAGTACTGTCCTGTATTTTCTCACTACAGTAGTGGATGCTTCAGTACTGTCCTTTATTTCCTCACTACAGTAGTGGATGCTACAGTACTGTCCTGTATTTCCTCACTACAGTAGTGGGTGCTGAGGTACTGTGTTATGTCTCTTCTTGCCAAAGAAGGCTTTTTGGAACAGGCAAACTATACAGAACCCCTGCTTATATGGAACAGTAAACTGGGTGAAAAACTCTATTCCAATACATTTATAACCAAATAAACCAATTACCATCATAATTATTTTATTAATCTTCTTATCAAACACCTTAAGCGTGTTTAGATTGAACATAATACAAATGACGTGTGAAACACACTGAATAACTTTTGCAAAATACAATTGAAACACAAGCCCAACAGCATGCTTAGTCTCCCAGATGTACCTGGTATGTTAACAGCAACACAGAAACATGACAAAAGTCCTTGTGTGATACTAATTGTTAAAATATTTAATTAATTCCATACATAATACAAAGTTAGTAAAAGTCATTAAAGCAAAATCAACTCATCTCTACAATAAATACATATATTTGACAATGATATTTTTTTTAAAAGTAACAAAAAATCAATCTCATTAAAATCAGATCTTAGTTCTCGCTACCGCTAAACAAAGATCTGAGGACATCCCATTACGGGTCACGTCAGACAGACATTGCGCGTACTTTGACTGACCAGTTGAATGAACAATCAAAAGGCAGCTTTCTTGTGCTTTATGGCACTAATTTCAAATTGGCGACTACGTTTCTAAACATATTTTGACAAATTCTCGATTACAAATTTGAAACCTAAACAAAAGAACATTCTGGAATGGCTAAGGGATGGTCTAGATTGTATGGATTCAGTCGTAAAACCCGTAACTATCGTTCGGAATACCACATGTTAACGTTTTCGAGGTTGTATGATTAGAAATCACATTCCGACTGTCACTTTCATGATCTGGTAAGCAACACTCTGATTGGTCGGATGAAAGGCCGTTCTGACGTGACCCCTAATGGGATGTCTTCAAATCTTTTTTTAGCGGTAGCAAGAACTAAGGTCTGATTTTAATGAGATTGCAACCAAAATATGATCAAAAGTAATCAAACAAAACAACACAACACAATAAATAAACTTATCACAAAATGTCCTTAAAACATATGATAGTACTTACACATGTGGCTAACAGCACTGTTGTCTCCACATTGTATTTGAGATCCTGATCATGTACTCTATTAGCATGATTAAACAATGTAAGCACATTTTAACCTGTCAAACACTGGTTGATGCCAACAACCTCCAGTCACATGGAACAGGGAGAATTTCACATAAAATGCTAAAATTAAGTATATTGATACGTATCATATTATGACTAAAGTATGGTGATATGAATCAGTAATTGAGGTAGGTGTATGGCAACACCTCTACTTATCATGAACAGCTTAAATAGGAGAGCAGACAAGGTGCAGCTTTGTCTTGTTTCAGAGTTCGAGCCCCATGCACATTCTTCATGTGTAGACTGGACATGTGTGGGACCTACAGCATGTACAGTAGATGCCAAATAATATAAGGGTAACGCTATTTTTCAGGGCATTATCATTTGCAGAAGCCCGAGGTCTTCCATTAACTGCCCGATGAAGGAGGGCAGTTGAAAAGACCGAGGGCTTCTGCAAATGATAATGCCCTGAAAAATAGCATTACCGTTATTATAGCTAAAATGGATGGAATTTGTTATCAAATAAAAAGAAACAACAATGTCGATTTTGAAACATTAACTGCAATCAACACGAATGTCACTGACCCACTTTTACAAATATGGAAACGTCATAGAACAAACCAGATGACGTCACTATTGAACGTTACGTCACCTATCCCTATCCTATGACGTCACCTAACAATGGGCGTGATAATGGCCCGTCGTCAAGTAATATGAGGGCATTATCAAGTTACAGTGGCCCGCTCATTTCTGATAACATGCGGGCGTTTTTATGATAATTCTATCCATTTTAGCTATAATACAAAATATTACACTTCGCAAAATTGAAAAAAGAACTGTCTGACAAGTATTACACACATGATGATGACGTCCTTTTCACTGTGGAGGACTTTCACTCCACCAGGGGGTCCATGCACTCCAGCATCATTGGCAGATGTATGCGGACCTCAGAGGGGATTATGTTAGGCTGGTGAATGAGTGTTATTCCTGGTGTACACCAGCATTCATACATATTTTCATGATTATCACATAAGGGAAGACTTTGTGCAATGCAACAGACAACAGATACAAGTTACATGCATAGAATGCTCTAAGTACCACACTGTGAAAAACTTTCAAAGACAAACTGGGATTTTCACAGAAAAATGAACATGGTTTATAATATATTAATTGTTAAAAAATTAAATGCATCATTATAGCGAGAAACAATCTGTCAGAAACTAAGAGATACAATGCTACATTGTGTCGTTCCTAGTTCCTTATGCATGTCAGTAAAAATGTCAAAACAATTAGCTTGGAAAAATCAGTCAGTCATGATTTATTTCCTGAGACCCGAGAATACTACAGCTGACAAATGGCCAAAGGGAGACAACCCACTGAGATGAGGTGAAGTTAAAATGCAGTTTAACATCACATTCAAGATGATTGCACATATATGACCATGTGTATGCATGTGTGTATCTGTGGCTGCTTCTGACGTTGGCTTTATAGGTCTAGCCAACTGAGATTTTAACATGGATATGACTCCAAGCTGACCAGTTCTTGTTTCACTCCCTTAATTTCCAGTGCCAGCCAGAGTAACAAAAAGTACTATCTTTTAATGTATTATGTCGAATCTAACCTCTGACCTTCCTCTCAGGACAGTCCATGATTAACAATTTAAATCCAACAAAGAGAGATTTACTGATAAGTATGTCATGTTTAAATGGCAACTACTAAATGAGAGAATTGGAAAACAATTGAGAGAATAGCCCAAATGTTTACTCGAAAAATAGACCATATATATATATATATATATATTATATACCGTATTCGACGTCAATAATTGAGGGTGCATATAAAGCAAGAGTGCGTATTATACGCGAATAAATATGTCTTGTGTACATTAATCAATCGGAAGCTAATTGGGATTGTTCACCAGCCAATATATTAGCAAATATCGTCATGGGCGCTTATTACGTCAAATACGGTATATCATGTTGATGTTGTGTTTTGTGACAGTACTGTATGATTGATAATTGACAAATCCTGCAAGTATAGCAACCAAAATAAATCAACAACAATTTTACTTCATAGATCAGCATGATATACGTACGTGTACATGATGACCAAAAATCATCAAAATCCAAATAATTAACAAACACCAGTAAACAATCATCGAACAGTTTTTGAAATTATGCATGAAACTATAGGGTCCTTCATAACCCTCTTGTTACAAACTTAAGTAAAGCATGTTAAGGGGGGCCTTCAGATTAATATGCTGCTGCAGCAAAGGACCCCTAGAACCCTTCCTTAATATTGAACACAATATCAATATGGTTAACCATGAAAAAGTGAACACATACAACCTTACAATCAATCATGTCAAAAATCATGATTATGCTCGTAACACATATTATAATCATGGAAATGTACAATAATTACCTCTCTTTCATATCCAAGCTTACATTCCATTCTATTCCATTGCCAGAGTTATGGAAAGGCATTGGAAATATGAAATTTAGCAACCACATGGGTCCAAACACTGAGGACATGTTGTCAAAGAGCGATCTTTTATAAAGCCTGATACCTTTTACATATTCATATGAACTTTGACCTGTGTACAACAGCATGCACTGCCAAAGAAAGTAATGTGCACATGCTGCCATTGTAACAACACAGCAGTAGCTGTAAACAACCATTGTTACTGTTCCTATGGTGATATCACTAGTAAACCATCTCCATAACAACCATGGTACCAAATAATTGTAAAATTCCTGGGACGATAGCTTGGCATAGTGTACTTCCAGGTACCCAATGGCAATGCACAAACTGTACAGAGCACCAAGGGTTCCATAAAAACAGAACACAATGAAGTATCGCTGGTTATGGAAGCCGATACAGCATCCAGCAAAAAAGCAGTGATGATCCCTTTTGAGGACGCATCTGTCACAGAGTGGGCAGTGCTTGGCTCGAGGAGGGACCAGCTGGTTACATGTGAAGCATTGTTTCCAACGCTTCTCCTCTGCACTTGTTTCAGTCTGGTTTAAAAGGGCTGTGCATGTTGACGAGTCCACCACAGACCTCTTGTAATTACGGACTATGCAAATATGATTGACTACAAGCATGGAAAATATATACCAGCCTGCTAAAACTCGGTAAAACAGCACATCTGGGTTATTTTTGTAGAGCTCAGGCAGAGCAACAGTGACTCCTACTACTAGAGCTGTGACAGAGTACAGAAAAAAGTAGATCATCCCACACAGGTTAAGAAGCTGCAGCTTCCATTTCCAGCTGCTGCGTTTTAAACCATGAATTCCCTGGCAGGAGGGGTACAGGCCCCCTGAAGTGTCTATGTCCATGACACGAACTGATTCATAGTGATTGTTCATCTTGAAGATATGTGGATTCCGTTCAGTTATTCAGCTCAATGTTGTCCCTGCTTTGACTGTTTTCTGTAATGCTAAAACAACAGATATCACAATAAGTAATTTCCACTGGTTTCATTATTTCTTGTATTTGGTGATCAAATGTAACCATGGCATAACTATTTTCTTCTAAGACACTTGAAGAAAATATATGATACGCTATTCAATCAAAAAAAAGCAACAAATTTGCTGAATAAGAATGGTGCACAGTTCATTGTTTTGAACTTGACATATGCGGCTGCTTTGAAACAAAGCCAAATCACAACTTCATGAAATCAAAGTAACTCGTTATTGGTGAGTAGGTTAAAATGGCCGTTAAAATACATGTACCCCCTATATATAAGCGTACTTATATGTGTGTGTGGGGGGGGGGGTGGAGAGACCAATAACGAGTTCCTCTGGTCATGAAGGTGTGATTTGGATGATTTGGTATTATCGTAGACTTGGACTTGTGTGAAGTCCATTTCCGATGTCTCCCACTGTGATATTGCTGGAATATATGCTAAAAGCAGCGTAAAGCCGTAACTAGTCACTCACTGCCGCTACTGCGAAAATGCACAAAACACTCATTTGTAACTTTAATACCTGAACTTACTCATTTTTCGGTCTGAGTCAATCAGTGCTTACTCTGCTGTAAATTTAGCCAAAAATCCTTATTCATTGTTCAGGAAAGCACAAATAACAACTACAGTTGACATTTTAACAAAATTCTTGTTATTGATACCAAACCGGAAGTCACTGTCTGCACTGCCCAAGAGTATGCTTGTCGAAAGACTTACCTTTACTTTCCAACATTAATGAAGTAAACCATCGTATAACTTGTTGCTTTTCACAAAAGATGATTCATTAATACTCTGCAAATACACGATAGTTAACGAATATGAAAAATAAAAATATGTAACCAACCTACAGTAAATGTTATTATTATCAATAACAAAGAGTAACAGTAGTTGACGACAAGTAGGCTTTCATAAACATTCAACCAATTGCGCATGCGCTACGGTTTCTTCCAACTTGGCGTCATTGCTTTTTTTGTTCAACTGAAAACGGACTTTGAAATATTATTTATTCGTGAATTCTTGCATTTCCACCCAGCAGGTAAATGCTACACATGTATATGTATTGTTTAGAGTGTCCACCATAAGCTCGTCATGTACTCATGACCTGTATTTGACTATAACAGATAACAGAGGCTAAATACTAACCTCATCAATATGGCGTTGGCGCCAATCCGCATCCACCATGTTTGCCGTTCCTTTCCTTAACTAACCTCTCGCAAAAAGTCACATGTTTAGGAAACGAAATGGAGAGGAAACGAAATAGATTATTATCATACATCAAATGTCCCAATACAGTGTGTGACTTGATTGTGTCTATTCAGTAAGATTTAATGCTACACAAAGTAACACTTTGAAAAGTATGTAGTTGATTCAGTGGTCACTCTGACCTTGAGTACACAAAACATAGACTGTTCTTGATCATTAATCACGTTGAAACAGATTAATTTCATGTTCATGTTATAATAATGTAAATGGCATTATTGATGTACCATTGTCATATTGATATTGCCTGACTATAGCTTGTTTAGTTAGTTGTATGACCCAGATTTTAGTTTGTTGTTACGAGATCTATATGAATCAATGAACATGTGGCAATATGTGTCTATATGTTAAGTATTCAAATAAATACATTCGTGTATAGTAAAAGGCAGCTAATTTGTTGATGTGGATTTCAAGCATGATGTACATGTCAATGAATTATATCAATAACTTATTAGACACTTCTCTAGACCACACAGTTAGCCTCAACATATTAAAACCCTTTTTTTACAATAAACTGTAAAATGCAGGACATAATGTATTCGTTAAAAATGTCTTGACAAGATTCCTGAAATTTATGTCTGACAATTTGACAGGTTAACTTGTTTAAAATCTTTATCTGATTACATCACTCCTGGAGGTTATAAAATATATCATTAAATATCTTTTTCACATCACATTTATCTGCAACTCAATGTCAATATCATTGTTAAGTGTGTGTATATATTGTACATTATATGTAAAACGAAGGTTAAACTCAGATCTGTTGCATATTTTCTATATATGGTAAATCTTACGACATCAATGAATAATGAAGAAAGACTTTGCATGAATATAATCTGCAAAAACTCTAACAATACTTGAACAAAAGCTAGGGACGGCTTGGGTGCTTAACATGCTTAAGGCCTGAGATTATGAAGGGGAAAAAACACAAATAAGTAGACAGAATCACAGGATTACATCACTTTTTATGACATCGCCTCATGATGTCATGTGATAGCTGGATTGTGTATCTCTGCTATATGAGTGACATATGACGTGTGACAATAAAAGATGCTCAGTAGATTTTAGTCTTTGTATGTAGGCGTATTAACAAATTACTTCTGCCATTTTCTCAACTTACGCTTTTTTTAACACGTCGGGATTCCAGTAGAATTGGTCCCTAGCAACAACCTATGCTTGTCGTGAGGGGCAACACAATGAATCATCAGGCTCAGTGACCTGGTTGATTGTGTGTCAACGTTCACCAATGGCGTTGATTGTTGCTCATAATATCAATCACTGGATTGTCTGGTCTAGACTTGATTACCAAAAGGCAGCCATCAAATAGCTGGAATATTGCTGATGGCTGTGTTAAACAACAAATAAACACACACATGCTTTAATTTCTTGCATTTCTTTCAATGTAACCATGTTGACATGCATATTATTATTTTTCAGTTCACCACATGAAAGACCACCCGATGTTTTGTACTCCTTAACCACAAACTTACTATGGATCAGCAAGGTATTCAATTTCAATGTTTCAACCTTGTGTCGTTGTAGGCATTCAGAATAGGTCCCTAGTACCTCGTGCTTTGTTGTATGAGCCACCTAAAGAGGCATCCGGTGGTCAGGCTTAGAAACGCAATTGTGTATCTGTGGAATTAATGTTGATCATGCTATAACCACATTTTTCTCTCAATCTGGCCAAAACACAATTATTTACTGGTGGTGTCAAGATTCACCAATGAATGAATACTATGATGTATCTCGAAATAACACATGACAATCCTGAGTCCAGGGTATTTATCATAATTTATATGAGATATAACAGTATTAATACACTGCAGTGTTCAAAATTAGGCATGAAAATCAAGGGGTCCTTGTCATAAGCCACATGTTAACCATTAACAAGCCTGAAATACTCATTTCCCCAGCCAATATGACATGTCCGGTTGTGTGCAAGGCAGCAGAAATGAGCACTACCGCCCTTTTCAGTCTTTCAAAATCGTTGCTATGGAAACTAAAAAATCTCAATCTATCAAAAGGCACCAGTTAACATCTAGACCTATCAATGTGCCATGTTTAGTACCATATTTCTTCACCAAACTTGGCACATAGATAGGTCTATTGGTGAACTGGTGCCTTTTGATAGTTTGGGATTTTAAAAAAAATTATTTTTCGAGTTTCCATGGCAACGACTTTGATTTAGACTGAAAATGGCGGTAGTCCTTGTTTCCGGAGCAGATCTTGAAAACCGTACCATATTTCTTCACCAAACTTGGCACATAGATAAGTCTAGTGGTGAACTGGTGCCTTTTGATAGTTTGGGATTTTTAAAAAAAAATTTTTTTTTAAAATCCCAAACTATCAAAAGGCACCAGTTTACATCTAGACCTATCAATGTGCCACGTTTAGTACCATATTTCTTCACCAAACTTGGCACATAGATAGGTCTATTGGTGAACTGGTGCCTTTTGATAGTTTGGGATTTTAAAAAAAATTATTTTTCGAGTTTCCATGGCAACGACTTTGATTTAGACTGAAAATGGCGGTAGTCCTTGTTTCCGGAGCAGATCTTGAAAACCGTACCATATTTCTTCACCAAACTTGGCACATAGATAAGTCTAGTGGTGAACTGGTGCCTTTTGATAGTTTGGGATTTTTAAAAAAATTATTTTTCGAGTTTCCATGGCAACGACTTTGATTTAGACTGAAAATGGCGGTAGTCCTCATTTCCGGAGCAGATCTTGAAAAACGTACCATATTTCTTCACCAAACTTGGCACATAATGTCATCTCACAGTATTGAATACATTTCCTTTCTTGTTGGTAAGTTCTGCATTGCTTGAGTGTATGTTCCTCATACGGTTGTTGCATTCACTGACTAACTTCATGCAGAAACACAACTCATTACAAATACAACAGTGTAACTGATCTTAAACCTACTCAACTGTATAAACACTGCCTCCTATCCTGTATATATCCTGGTCAACCATACTCTGTACTTCACTTGCTTGATAACGGTGTTAGAACCTACACCGAAACCATCGCTCCTAATTGTAATAAAGAAGTTGTTCGTCCATATGTCTCATCCTTACTCATTACAAATTCAGTTACATATTCTATCATAAACTGCAGATGGCAAAACAACACCAGTAATAACTTGTTTTAGTGCTGCAATTAGCATGATTAGGCCATTTACAAAAAGGCACAGTGAACATAATTCACAGGAGCTAATGCACTGCATACAACCGGACATGTCATATTGGGAGGGGATATGAGTATTTCATGTTTGTTTGTATTGTTTTTAATTTTTTTATAAAACTTTTTAAAAATGTCCACATGCTTGTGGTTTGATGACCAACCTTAATTATTGCTCATCAATCAATCATGCTGTCAACCACCCCAACTTGATCAATAACAGACAGCTGTGACTTAGCTGAAATATTGCTGACTGAAATCTAAAATAATCAATCACTCATCATGCTCACTCCAACTTTTATAAAAGCCGAATGACTAGATCCTCCTGTGACACATGTATACCAAGTTGCCATGGTTACAGGAGCGGAGTGTGACGTATGCGGCGGCGGCCATGAGACAGAGGTCTGCCCAGAGCTTGGACTGGATGATGCAGCAACAGAAACAAGCAACCAGACAAAGTGAGTTGATACTGGAGGATGTCTCATGGTTTGGTTTTGCATTCATTGCAAAGCTCTAACTGCTCTGTGCCAGAGTGCTTAACAACATATTTTAGGTCAATCTATTGAAGACATGAAGCTGTACAAGCGAGAATTATAGACTAATAGTAAAATCTTAAAACAAAATTGACATAAATGTGTACATTTTTATCCACTTGGTACAAAACATTGTGGATGTTTTATCAGTATGTGGCTAAGACAAGTTAAATACTGTTCAGACTGTTACGTAAAACTGTCAACACACTGAGGTGATATCCCAATATTCATGATATTTCTTTATAGTAGTGTGTGATTTGGCACAGCATTGTATGCGGGGCGGGTGGGGATATAGTCATCATCTGGTCCGTGTCCATCCATATTTCGTTTCCGGTGCATCTGTGAAAGATTTTCATCCAAACATGGTACATGTATTATTCATCTTAATCAGGGGGAAGTAGTGCTTTTTGCTGTTTAGGAATTTGTAAGAAATATTTTTGTTTTCGTCTTTCAATGACTTTGACTGATAGTGGTGTGTTGGTCTGGATATCTCTAAAACTTATAGGTATTCATTCATGTTATCACACTTTTCACGCATAAACATGATAAAGAATAGGTTGTCAACTGGTGCCTTTTGCTATATAGAGGTATTTTGAATTTATATTTATTACATTTCCATGGCAACAGGTTTAACTTTGACTCTGTTCATAGTGATGTGATTGTCAGGACTATATCTCTAAAACTAGTAGGTATTCTGTCACGATTTGCTATTTCAGGATTGTTACAGAAATTTAGTTTTTTCTTTCCATGGTAACAAGTTTGACTCTGTTCAGGTTTGTTCCGAATCCCAATTCCTTTGTATTGTTTTTATAGCTCAATGACTACTTTTGTATACAGACAGACAGCTTACATAGAAATCTCTCAAGTTGGGCGTCAGATGATTTGTTCTTTCGAATTTGTGGGGGCTGAGGGATTTATTGTCTTTGGATAAATTTTGTTTTAATTGGACATCCAATTAAATTTAAAGTATAAAATTACCTATCATAGAAAAAGTTACATACCGTACTCTTATTCTTAATGTAGACTAGCTAATATCGTTAATCAGTCATCCCAAGCTGCACAGACATATGATGGCATAGGCTGGGGTTACCAAGTTGATAGTGTGTCCGATCTTCTCACAATCTCATTAAAATCAGGGGGCACGGGTGGCCTAGTCGTCAAAGGCGCCGCGATTCGCTGTGCAGAGTTGCGTCCCTTGGGCACGCCAGAAACCTATGATTGTGGGTTCGAATCCCGGTTCGCCCCAATTATGTTTCGGTTATGAGGTTTTGAAGGTAATTTATCAGTTTAATCCAGTAATAACTTGGACTTTTGATGCTGCTCATGCTTGTAGTTTGGAGGTTTAGGGTCACTTAACATGCAAAAGACAAAAAGGAGGTAGCCAAAATAATTTTCACAATTCTCCATACATGACACTCCCTTCAAATATGTTTTTCCCTTTGATAAGATATACCCAGGGAAACTAAATGGCAGGGCTTGTGAATAAGTGTTTTCTTTTTGTTTCAGAGCCCGTCTGACTGTGCCAAGCAACTTCTTGGTGCAGACTCACACCGATGGCAGTATCGGCATCTACACCAGAGAGACACTGCCCACCAAAACTCAGTTTGGACCATTTGAGGCCAGACGAACCACACACGAGATAGGGAATGAGGACTTGTTTGTACTCAAGGTGAGTCCAGATACTCCAGAGTAGGAATGTAAGAATACCAAGTAGTGAATGGGTACCCGGTAGGATGAGATGGTAATGTGACTTTTAACCTTGTAGAACCTCACAGGCAGCTTGGGTTGTATTGTCCCCAAGGAGTTGATAATGAAAATTATGTGCAGAATGATCCATTACCCAGGCAAGGGTGTTAACTGACTATTTAAGTCCAGTTTCCGGAGTTACATTTTGGCTGGACTAACGAGTCTATGCATAGTCCAATCAAAATTGTGTGAACTAGACATCCGGTTCAAAAGTAACATGGATTTCAGCATGCAAATTTCGGTGGACTGCAGGATTTGCAAAGCATGTGTACCGCCAGATGGGTTTCAACAGTTATTTTGCAAATCTTTTCATGTTTTTAATCAAGGTCAGAGCTCCAGATAAGCTTTTGGTGTTGTGGGTATTTTACCCATGCATTTTTAAATCATTGGGTATCAGTAATTCTATCTGGGTATTCAAATTTCTGTTACCCACTAGTTTTTACACATGTGAGTATATAAGTTAAATATTTAAAAACACTATTCATCAAGTCCCTGCAAACTGGTGTCGTGTGGTTTCGAGAGCTTTATAGGACTCAAAAATACCACGATACTTCCACAAGAAAGTGTGATGGCAAATGATCATGATGTAACTGTCATCATGGAGTTTGGCAAGGTTGACGGAATGCCCGATTATAATTTCAAAATAAGTTGCTGATCTGCTAATCGAATACGCAAGGTTACTTCACAATATTTTGATGATATGCACAAGTTTTATTTTTGTAGCTTATCTGTAATGTTCATTGCGTATTTGATACGCTTGGATATTATTTTACTGCATATTTCTGCATGTCTGATGCGTATTTTACGCTGATACGCAGATACGCAGCTTATCTGGAGCTCAGAAGGTGCTCAAGTGATTTGACACGTTTTATTACAATATAGATCTTGATTATCGATCAGATCATCTTGACAAGTCGCCGCCATTTTGTTTGAAGCAAATGCAAGTGATTCGAGAGGTGGAATCTGATTGGTCGGTTGGTTAGACATAGAAGGGGCATAACTCGTAATAGCCACTGGTGGCACTACAATCAAGCCTGGAAATTGCAGCCTAGTTCGGCAAGAGTGGAAACTGGTTAGCACCCTTTCCTAGGGAAGATGGATCCATTGGGGACCAGGGTAGTAATTCTCTGTGCATTTTGAGCATGATATCCATGGATTTTTTTATATATTTTTATTATTTATTTGTAGATCCTCTCGAAAGACAAAGATGGCAGTGCCGTATGCCTGGACGCAACAGATGAGAACGAGTGTAACTGGATGTGCCTGGTTCAGGTTGCCAGTACAGAGGAGGAACAGAACTGCATGGCATACCAGCTGGCAACCAACATCTTCTTCAACACCACAAAGGCTGTGGAGGCAGGGAGTCCCCTCAAAGTGTGGTATGCTTCCCACTACGCCAAGAAGATGGGGAAGTCACCTCAGCCTGATGGCAGCACCAAATGTACGTGAGATGAAATGTTACCTTTTGGCCATAATCAGTGTTTGAAATAACGGATGTAAGTAAAAAGGTCTTAACATAGTCCTCGTGTCAACAAAAAGACAGTGCTCAGCAATGGTCCTTGGTGAAGAAATAAAGATGTTTCCACTTTTCACTCCTGCTTTTTGCATGGATGACACGTCACCTTCCTCACATCACTGCCTGTCGCGATACAGCAAGGACGTGTCTTAGCAGAGCTCTTCAAATTGGACACTTTTAGACCTTTAGCTTTGGTTATAATTCTAAATTTTATCTGTGATGGGTGATGTATTCTTTTCACTAATTTGTGTAGTTTTATGTGGGTGATTTAGGCGTAAAAAGACCTTGTCTTTTTTTCCCCGCCACAAAGCTCGTTGTTTCCCGCCATTTTGAATTTGTGTTACAATTGTTTACCGGCAAGGGTAGTCAAATTGTTTACAATTCTTAGCTACGCATGTATAACATGTTCATGTGTTTTTAAATACCAGTAGCTTTGGCGTTACATAGAGTTTGCGTTTATCAATCCTTGTATACGCTTACAACATTTAAAATATTTGCCGATAGAATATTGTGTAAATATATGGCAATCTCCCAACTCCGTATCAATCAACAATTCTTTATTTGCGTAACTTATGCTTGCGCGTTGTACTAATTGTCGTGGAAAAAATCTTATAAAGATCCTCATCCACGTTGTTTGGCTTGCACGCAGATTTGCTCTCCAGATACATTGAATGCAATTTTTATGCACCTCACTCTCGATAGAATTTGGCTCATTATAAACAGGTCACTCACAAACGTTTTTTGCAGCAGTCCTGTCATAGTGATTGCAGACGTTCTTCCTCTGCATGTCAACATTGCCGGAGGCTACTGTGAGTATCGTACCTGCTCCTAATTTTAGGCGCACAGGACCTCAGGTACTACGATCCCTGCAATGTCAGCGCGTACGTCTCACGACGCCTTGATGGGGGTAGCGCATGCGCAAGCCATGATCCAGTCATCACAGATGAGCATTGCGTCTCAAGGGCTACCACCAAGCGCTGCACCTGCCTACCACCCAAGTGCTCTACAATTACATCAGTCCCAGGGATACAGCCGATCGCCTTCTAGGAGAGTGCGTCAATATCATTCTGTTTCTTCAGACTTCTCAAATGGCGAAGAGGGCGATTCCTCTGTGGAATGGAATACGCAACTCAGCTTAGCGCAAGTGCCTTAGTGGGTAGCAGACCGTTTCATGTCAGTGGCATCTTCCCCTGGGTAAGGTGAGGTGAGGTGAAATTGGGTTTAACATCGCGTCCAAGATTATTGCACTTATATATCGCCGTGCATGCACGTGTATGTGTGTGTGTGGCTGCTTGTACTAGTCCGGACTGATGCCGATTTATAGTGCTAGCTCACTGAGATACCATGCCGCAGTTTAACATGAATACCCCACTCAGACACAGTATACTGACTCCGAGCCGACCAGTCCTTGTTTTAGCCCCTTAATGCCGAGCGCCAGACAGGGTAACAACAAGTACAATCTTTTAACGTCTTTTTGTATGACGCGGCCCGGGATCGAACCCTGGACCTTCCGCTCTCCGGGCGGACGCTCTACCACAAGACCACGGAGGCGGTCCCCTGGGTAAGGGGGTTGATGAGAAGGATACCATATGGTCACATCCCACATCGATTCCGGTGGATCCGATGTTGACAGATATGATTAGGTCACTGGACGAGGACTTCTCAAGACTCATACTTGCTCCATCATTTAAGTCGCCAAAGCTCAGGAAAGATGATTTTCCTGTCCAGGCTTTTCGGTAGTATATCAGGCTACTAGTTTGGATGAGGATATACAAAGGATGACCGGCTCGTCAAGGCCAACCACACTTTAAGTCCAAAATAAAAGATTTGCGTTCATTGAAACGGAAATCAGGCGTGTACTAAAACCTTTGTCAGCACTATTGTCGTAAGCTGTGGATCAAGATCTATCGGAAAATAACCCTAACCATTTAGATCATCTCCAAACTATAGTTTATTTCCAACAACGTCAGATTGACCACATAGGGAACCATCTCAGAGCCGTAGTAGCGGAGATTACTGTGACACACAGGCTTTGGTATTTAGGGCTTTCAAACTGGGATCTCGAGTTAAAGCGCAGACTATGGCAACCTTGATCAACGGGCAAGTTGCGGACACACAAGCTAAAGTATCTAATAACGATACGGACGAGACCACGCTTAAAGCATGGAGCACATTTCTCAGAGTTTTCTCCCAGCGGGCAACAAGATCTGATTGAAACCAAAGACAATTGTCTTGACCACTTATAACTGTGGTAAAAATGTCCTGCTTACAACAGAGGTTTTTTTCCTCAACGCTCGTCAGCGACTGGTCTCATGCTGAGGGATCTATAAATTTTCCTGCCCATTCTCCCGTTTAGCAATGTATGCTCAACTTTGGCTAATTTTCGCGCAGAGGCATTAGACAATTGTACCAAACTTGAAAAACTTCACACTTTCAAGGTTGAACATTGGACAGAATCGTCATATGCTGCCAGGTATCAATCTGTTAGGATCTTTGTGCAGGCAGCACCGGGCGTCCCAAATTTCAGGGAGATCAAATTTTGCGCCTACACCGGCCAAGTCAAATGTCCAACACAGAACTCAGAAACACTTCTTGGCGGTTTGCCACACAGTTCTCTGTGGACAGTCCATTGTGTGGAGTTCGTATCTTTTTGCGGATTCAATGTGCATCTTGATTTAAATATCATCGGTCAAGATTTCTGACTATGAACACTCGAATGAGGTCAGCTAACCTAATGGATGCGGTGCAGGGTCATTGTTCCAGAATGGTTGGCATGCTTACTGGTATGTAATGCTGCAGCCTTCGGTCAGATACCTGTCGCTGTATGTGATGTGACCGAGTCACGATCTTCAGCAGACTAGTGTCAGCATGCACAATATCGAGGCACACACAGAGTACGAGGCTCTTCCCTTTGTTGTCACCTCAATATAAGAATGGGAGTATTTGTACGGCCTGGTATCTTGGCTATCGGTTGACAAGTGCTTTTTTTTAGTCTACATGGGAGCAGGCAGTGATTCATTTACGAACACTATTCACAAGTCTGTCCAGACTAGAAGTTCTCATAGTTGATTTTTTACTAAACTTGTAGACATCAATTTGCTACCCCGGTTTTCAACAGCCACATACACTCTTGTCAGTGGCAAGTGTTGCAGGGTTTGCGCCCATTAGTCGCCATGACCTGTATGCAGCTATCAATCTACCGTCTTAATTGAGGACATTCTCAACTGGTGGTTGATAGTCGAATGTCTCTTTATTCGTGCTAGCCCCGAATTTACACCTGTTTGTAATCAGTTCCAAACAGGGGTGCTCCCTTACAGGGCCAGACAGCCTCAGGGTTGTGGCCGTGTGCACAATAGATTTGGCACTTTTGGAAGCGCTCATTCTGACCATCTCAAGAGAGAAACATTGACAGGAGCAGCTACAACTCACAAGCTCAGAAATCTAGCAGAAGACAATCCACTACCCCTCCTACAGTGGTCAAACTTACTAATCCACCCTCACAGCAAATTGCCTCACCCTATGCCAGACAGGTTTCGTCTGCACGCTTGGTTCATCTTAAATAGGCGTTAAGTTCAAAGGGTTTTTCAGCACAGGCTCTCTACCAGAGGATTATACAATGACAAGTGGGGATCGTTTGAAACTTTTTGCAAAGTAAAAAACCAAGACCCCACGACAGAGTCACCACAATTCTTAGATAATCCAATTGGTAAAAGACTTGAAGGTAGCACCATTACTATGTATCTGGTAGCACTTAACTTAGTGTTGGCCATTCCGGAGAATCGCAAAATGACCAAGGTCCCTGAACTACAGGCTCTACTACGCTCATTTAGGCTTGAGGATCAGAAGGCCAAATTCAGTCCCCCTGCTTGGGACTTAAACGTGGTACTTCGAGGATTGCGCGGGCCCCCCTTCGAGCCCCACTACACATCCTCTTATTATGACCCTACCAAGAAAACAATATTTCCCTTGGCATTAGCCATGGCGGCACCACCTGGGTCCATTTTGAGCATGGTATGCACGGAGCAGTACATCTCGGGTTGTGCTGGGATTTTATAGCAAAAAATCAACTACCATGCCAACCTGATTGTTACTTCACTATCCCATCAATTTCTACAATTGTGGAAGTTGAAGATGGGGGTGAATCACTCTTGTGCCCGGTACACGCACTTCGAGTTTTCATCCGCCGTTCCAAAACAGGCGTGGTTCGAGGAAACGGTTATTCATACCCGTATCTCCTACGTCCACGACCAAAGTTTGTAGCAACACCATATGTCTATGGTTACACGCAGTCATCCTTCAGGCTTATGAGATCGCCCAACTTGATCCACCGAGAACTAATAATCCGACTGAGTCAGGGCGTTAGCCTCTACCATGGCGTTCCATAGTAACTGTTCTACTTAAACGATCATGGAAGGATGTTTTTGGAGGTCCGACACAGTTTTCGCTAGTCATTATCTTCGCGATGTGGCTCATGAAGATGTCAAAAGCGTGCACAGTTTTGGCCCTCTGGTAGTAGCACAGCAGGTAACAAAACCTAGATGCAAATAATAAACTAACCCTATACAGAGCCAGTCTTACATACCACACAAGTCGTTTGAGACATGGCCAGTGGAAGAAATCATGACAAGCTTTTTTACCAGACTTTGGTTTGGTGACAAAGTAGGTAAAGATTTTAGCTGTCTTTATTACCAAGTGTGTACAGGGTATTACCCTTAAATTCTTATGTTCTGTCTGTAAAGGAGATTGAACTAACCCTACCATTATGGCGTTTTTCGGAGCTTTTTCCGCCTCACCGATTATTGACAAACGTGTTGTTGTTTTGGGTGTGAATCATGGAGGTTTTGGACTTCTGAAGGTTAACTCCATACTGTCCGATACAGATGCATTAAGGAGTAATGCAGGATAAGTACGCAGTTTAGTAAAATCTAAATATTTTTTACATTTGTGGACTTATCCTGCATTACTACATTTAAGGACCCACAGACCCTGCAGACTTGCCTTTCCACTTTGGCTTCAGAAACCTCAAAAAGTTTTTTATTAAGCTTGGGCGACAGGCAGTGATGTGAGGAATGTTACTTGTCATCAAGGTCACATGACAGCGTCGATGATCCATGCAAAAAGCACATCTACATCTCTCAATCATTAACTATTTTTAGAAACTATATACCTATCCCTACATCATGTACATTAATCACTTCCATATATGTATACTTTGTGTCATCAAAGTTTGAATAATGAATCCTGATTTGAAAAGGAAAATATACATGTAGGTTTTGGAGGACAAGATGTTATGATATGGGGATAAAGTAACCTTGGTAATCACAGCAAGTCACCGTAAATGCTTTTACTGTACCATATCTGTGATTGTCTTCATTTATTTGCAGCAATGCTAGGACAGAAGCTGATAGTGCAAGAAGAAACAGTTTTGGCCACACCCACATCTACCTCCCGCAGAAGTGTCAGGACGCGGGTCTTGCCAGCACGATCCAAGTCACACGCGAATGAGAAAGGGGATATAGGTCAAAATGATGCCATCGAAAATTTCTTTTCTGAAGTGAAGCAGTCACTGGATGAGCGAGAGGAAGAAGATGATGGAGAAGCTCCTGGTACGGACTATATGGGTCTATATGGATTTAAGTGTCAACGCTGTTCAAAGTCATTTGAAGATCAAAGCCAGCTGGCCTATCACATCCGAGAACATATCATGCCCACAGTCGAAAAGAAAACATTCAAGGGTGTGTATACCTGTAAGATTTGCAAGGTTGGCTTTCAAACCGTGAGTAACTACAATCGACACATGAAGCGACATGTTGGCTACAAGGTTAAGTGCCCCCAGTGCAACTACTACACATACAGGCCAGACATCCTTCAGACTCATCTCATGGGCCAACATGGAGTCACCCTGGAGAATGCAAAGACTCTAGCAGCGTCAAGTGAACTGCCAGCCAATGGAGATGGTGAAGGTTCTCGAAACTCATCGGGTAGGAAAGGTCGTCGGAGAAGGAGGAGAGGAAAGAAGAGGAAGGTTGAAAGTGAGGAAGAGATAGAGGAGGAGGAAGAGGAGATAGAAGAGGTTGGTGAACCAGATGAGGATATGGAGGAAGATGTTGTGGAAAGCCCGGTGAAGTCACCCATGGCAGTGAGTCCTCGTGCAGTAAGTGTATATGATTCTACAGGGTTCTCCCCTACCAGAGTTCAGCCAAGACGTTCTCTCAAAGGCATCAGAACAACTGGAAACCTAAAGGGAATCAATCCAACTTCACTGTTTAAGAAAAGAAAGAATGATTCTGAGTCTGAAGATGAAGAGAGTCCAGCTAAAAGTCCGGTGAAGACTCTCATACCTGAAGTGAAGAAGAAGAGGGGGAGGCCAAGGAAACATCCAGTGGTAGAACCAGTTGTTGAAACTGTATCTCCCATACGGAGAAGAGGCAGACCGAGGAAGGACACAGAAGAGGTTAATCAAGGGGGAGGCGAAGCTATGGAGGAGGAAGAGGAAGAAAATGCAGAGCCTGGAGAAATCATGGTTAATGATGCTACTGAATCTGGTGTAGAGGAAGAGAAGAGGGAAGAGGTTGCTGGTGATGAGGACAAAAATGAAAATGTGCCCAATGAAGCGAACTCAGCAATTACAGCAGAAACATCTGTGGTAAAGAGTGAAGCACCAGCAGCAGAATCTGAAGCACCAACAGCAGAACCTGAAGCACCAACAGCAGAACCTGAAGCACCGACTGCAGAACCTGAAGCACCGACTGCAGAACCTGAAGCACCAGCAGCGGAACCTGAAGCACCAGTGGAATCTGCAGCACCAGCAGAATCTGAAGCAGTGACAGAAGAAGTAGAAACAGCTGCCCCAACTGGGGAGGATGAGATGGTTGAGGAGAACAAGGCTAACACTCCGGATGATGCTGAGGACAAGACAGAGGAGAATCAGGAGGAGGAAATTGACGAGGCTGAAGAAGAGATAGTGAAGCCAATACCGAAGAGAAGAGGTCGACCTCCTAAACATGGCAGAGTCCGTAACACTGAAGAGATGAAAGAGCTGGAAAAACAAATCCGCCAAGTTGGTAATGCGTTCCAGTGTGGTGTTTGTGAGAAGAAGTTCTCCCAGAAGAAGTATGTTATGTTACATCTGCCCAAACATACAACGAAATTCAAGTGTGATGGTTGTGAAAAACAGTTTGCCAGATACGAATCCTACCAAAACCACACCTGTGTGCATCATCCTGTAAGTGATGATATCATCACAACAGACAAGAATGGATGCTACTCCTGTGGAGAATGTGGCAAAGTCTTCTCCAAACCGGAATATGTTAAACGCCATTATTCTGTTCATTCTTCATCTTGGGCTTGTGAAAAGTGTACTAAAAAGTTCTCACGTCGACATCTACTGCTTGATCATGTGTGTCAGGCAGAGAACGGAGACGAAATCGTTGACAATCATGAATGTGAAATCTGCAAACAGTGTTTCCGTAGTTTGAAGTATTTGTATCGTCACATGGCCATGCATACAGATATCTTCAAATGCCAGGGATGTGACAAGACCTTTTCCAGAAAGGACTCACTACAGCGACATGTTCTTCGATGTCGACCTGACCTTGCTGATCAATATAAAATCTATGACTGCAAAAACTGTAAGAAAACATTCGCAACCAAGCTTGGCCTGGAAAACCACTATCTCAACTGTGCCAACTATAGCTGTGAGAAATGTAGAGTGGCCTACTTTAAAATCGAACACTTGGAAAAACATGTTTGTGAAGGCACTGTTGTTCATGATGGCGCTAGCGTGCAGTTCCCCTGTCAGGAATGTGGGAAGACCTTTGCAAGCATCAACTATCTCCGTCGCCATGAAGAAAGTCATAAAGGTGCCTTCTCCTGTTCAAGATGTGATAAATCTTTCAGTCGGAAAGAAGAGCAGAGGCTACACGAACACTTATGCTTCGCTCAACATCATCTTGAGACAAATACAGAAGTGGAGTGTAGCATTTGTCACACAGTTTTCACAGAAGCAAAAGCCTATCGAGATCATCACCATGAACACTCTCATCCTTTTAAGTGTGAAAAATGTGGGAAAAGATTCATCAAAATCGGCACCTTGACGACACACACTTGTCAGGAAACTGTGGTTGATGAAGATAATCCATTCTCTTGTGACCTGTGCATGAAAACCTTCCGTACTGAGAAATATCTCCAGAGGCATCAAACCATCCATGAAAAGCCTCAGTTTGAGTGCGAGTATTGCAATAAGGTCTTCTACCGCAAGGATTACCTGAATAACCATGTCTGTAAGCTGCCAGATGGCACCACTGTGAGAATCGTCAGGAAAAGGGATAGGATATTCATCAAAGAGAACCTGGTATGCCATCTCTGTGGGCGAACTTTTGTCAGCTCAAGTAATCTGAACAAACACATGAAAATTCATGGCGAGAAGCAGAACGAGTGTCCTCACTGTAAAAAGAAATTTCATTACCCAGCGTATCTCCGAGAACACATAAAAACAGTCCATCAGCGTGCCTACCAGTTCCAGTGCGCTGACTGTGGCAAGATCCTCCACTCGAAGACTGGCCTGGCAGCTCATCTGAAACAGTTCCATAGCAGACAGATCCAGCTGTACCAGTGTGGGACGTGCCAGAAGACATTCAGACAGAAGGGAAACCTCAAGACTCACATGTACTCGCATACAAAGGAGAAAACATTCATGTGTGACTACTGTCACAAGATGTTCAAGTATCCAGATCAGCTGAATCGTCATCGTCTTGAACACACAATGACGAACAAACTTAATTGTGAATTTTGTGACAAGAAATTCTGTCGTCCATACCAGCTCAAGAAGCATATACAGACATTCCACAGTGGTGTTGTGTATGTTTGTGATATTTGTAACGAGCGTTGTAGTCACAAGCACACTATTGTCCGTCACTATAAACGTAAGCATCCTGAAATCAGTAGTGTGTTTGACCATCAACCCGATTTTCTGACCCAGCTCCAGCAAGAACACGCAGACAATGAAGGGCAAGTTGACATCAAACCAAACATAGCCAGTATTGTCCAGGCAATCGACCATGTGGAGACAACAGTCGTGACAACCGAGGGGGCGGACGGGGAACAACAGTACACAGTGGCTGAGATTCAGACTGACGGGGACGGGTATCTGCCGCAGGTGGCAGCAGAGGCGTTACAGAATCTGTCTAACACCATCATTGCTTCAGAAGGGGAGGGAGGGACACTGACCATTCCCCACTCTATAGAGGGGCCAGACGGTCAGCAGACAGTTGTGATCTTACAGATCGTCAACCCTGGAGATGATGAGACATCCATTCAGGAGATACAGGAGATTCAAGAGGTGCAGGAAATCCAGGAGATACAGTGAAGATAGGACATCCATGTCACTGCTGCTACAGATACACTACAGATAGGACATCCACACAAGAAGATGCAGTGAAGCACACATCACACACGTCAAGCTATCAGGTGTTTATGTACCATTCGTGACTGTTGTGTCTATGTATGTTTTGAGGTGATGTAACATTTTGGCTGAATAGAATCCTTATCCTTAAAGGGAGAAAGGCTCTAACCCAGTTGGCACTCCCATCAAAATGGATTGAAGTCATTCAAAACACAGTTTGTCTATATACTCTAATTTTGCAGTTGATTACCCTAATTACAGAGGCCATGTCACATTTGACACTAGTCACTAATTACAAGGTCTAGACCTAGACCAAACAAGGGCATCCGATCATGGAGCATAGTCCCCCTTTAAGACTTGGTGGTCTTGTACAATGGAATACTCCACATATACTGAACCAAAAAAAGGTTAGGGGTCATGAACTGATGAACATTTTTTGGATATTTTTATGAAGTTGTGTGCTCATTCTTCACTCCAAAAATATCCCCCAAAATATTTGTGATCCTTAAGCTTTTCTGTTCAGTATATAATCTATGGTGGCCAGAAGTCGTCAGTTGACAAGGATTTGCTGGACATGAGTGTTACATATTCAAATATACAGAATTTCAAGGGTTGTCTTATTCAGTTAGTTATTTCCAGATTCTGCCATTTAGGTGAACAATAATGCTAAATAATGTTTGTACTTGGGGATTATATTTGTTTATTGTTTGTTTGCTTCTACTTGATGGTGTTACACCCAGTGTTAGCATTATGCAGTTTGGATATGAATTTATTATTTTTCAGTTATCCCATTTCGATTAAATGAATGAGGAACTTGAAAAGTCAGGATATGATACAATAGCTGACTCACATCAGGATACATATTCAAGAATGCTGTGACACATGTAGCCATGGTAACAAACAGTTATTAATATCACACTGCATATCATGGTTGACATAATCAGGTATCACTCATTCTATCCTGAGTATTGTGTGATGTAGTTGATGAACCAGCTAAGCAGTGACATATTGTCACAGCCTGTTATCAAACATTTACCAAGCTCTTATGTCTCTTGAAGATGGTAGAAACACACCAGAAAAAGGTATCCCATTGAATCTGTTCCGAATGTCAAGATGCTTTGGTGTGAAAAGCAGAGGAAGGAGTTATTTCTGTTTGTAAATAACCTGCTTCATCATGTATGCTGCTCGTATATCATGTCTCAGTTCAATAATAGCTTTGCTTCAACATTCTGTCACACGATTTTATGTCCTATTTAATGCAGCATGTGGCTATAAAATTAAGATTACTTTGTGACTTAGCAAACATGGAATTGTGGATGAAAGGACCCGTGTCCAGAACAAAATGAAAGGGACGCCTGCTCTAAATAACTGATAAGGTTAGGGGTGCCTGCTCTATGTTACTGATAAGGTTAGGGGAGACCTTCTCTCTTGAAATGACAGGGTTAGGGGCCTCTGCACTATTTACCCCATAACTGATAAGGTTAGGAACACCTACTCTTTATTATACTTTAAATGACTGATAGGTTAGGGGGCACCTGCTCGATATAACCAAAAATGGTTTGGGCTACCAGTTCTATACAATAATGAAGGTAAGGAGTACCTGTCTATGCCATGTTGAGAGATATGATAGTACCACTAGATGCAGAATGCAGCATTTAAACAAAAATACTCTGCTGTTCTTTGTTACGTAGACATCAATGCATACATGGATCCACAATACTCAGGATAACAACAATGTCTCCCTATAAATACTAATGAACATGATAAACAATGCCTCTGAGCTGTATGAAACACACATTGTGATCAGTGTAAAAGTGTTTTGTATCTTAAATCTTGAGTAGGTAACATTGTGCCAATCCATTATGAATGTGGATTTAAAGCATGTGGAAGAGGTTTGTAAACAGTTTGGTATTTAGAAAGGATTATTTTCTTAAGTTTTATCAAAAAGATTCAATTTTTTACTGTTCATAGTTTTAATCTTTCGAATGGTTGCAACTGTTGAAATGTTAGTATTAAGTACTTGTTGAGCATGTTGAGATGAAATTGATGAACGATTGATGGGACTTGAAATTTATCTCTTATTTTGAGTTATCTCCCTTTTGACAAAATAGAAAGTTTGCTGAGATGTTGCATGTTTTTTTATATATATTTTGTCACTCAATAAATAACAGATATATGGTTTAAATAGGGCAGAACTAATTTCCTTCATTGTAGAACTTATTTCACTGACTTGTATGTGGTGTAAGAGGAATGATTAAAAACATAAATTTTCATAATTTGGCTACTTAGCACACACACACTGTAGCTATTTTATTATATTAGTCTCAGCCATGAGACAAAATTCCTGGCAAACAGATGAAATAAATTTTCATCCGTTCATCCGTTCATCCATTCATTCTTTCATCCATTCATCTTTGTTACTCATTTAGCATGGTTTGTCAAGGTGCTTGAGAGAAACATATTCTTTCTGTAAATGTACGTAACATTATCTTCCCTATCTACACACTCATATACCATACTCACTCACATACAGGCAACATGGCCAAACTCTTTCACTTGGTTCTTAAATATACTGGGGCATTTTCGACTTCCGTAATCTCATTTAAACAATACATTAAAATGGTAAACATTGAAAACCTGGGCCCTGTTCCACAAGCAATCTTAGCACTAAGATAATGGTAACTCCTATACTTTGACATGGTCTCACGACAGGTGTAGTGTGAAGATTGCTTTGTGGCAACTTGGCCCTACTTCACTTTCCTGCTTTCCTTGCACATCATTGTGATATTATGGAAACCCTCTTTATTGTCGGCGTACATGTATCATGTAACTGAAATATCTGCAGCATTTTTGTCAATGTCAACTCCCTGTTTTTTTTATTCAGAGTGTATGTACATTGTTTTTAATTTATTCCAGATATATATCTGTTCTGCTTAGCTTAGTTTCACAAGTTTCTCTGTGCATTCATCACTTGGGTGATTGAAAGCTTTATATTCCACTGAACATGAAATTATTTAATAAAACTTGATTCTATACTTTACGGTATTTGACTAGTTTCATTTTTTATAACTTTGGGTAAGAATTGGAATTATGTTTCAGCATTTACAATGACTTGGTTAATGTCCCTAAAGATGGTTGAATATAAGTTTTACTGATAATGGTCTCTGAGACTACTGTGTTTTGTATTCTTTCTGTGAGATTTACACCTATTGTCTGCATTGATGTATATATATAATCCTCAGTTGTTTGTTCCTGTTACTTTGTATTTGGATGCATGAAAATGAAGGAAGTCTCACTTAAACCATTGCTGACCAATCAGTGTTTTGTTGTTTTTCAATGAATCCATGTACACAGTAGGGCAACATTACCCGAGCTATTCCTTTTGGGGTATAGGGGACACCTTTGCCCCCTAAATGAACCTTACATGTAGGACATGAATACCGGAAGCTTGACCCTGAAATGGGAACACAGATACCTTATGCATGACACTGAATGGGAGGTTCATGGGAACACCAATACCCCATGACTGTCCCGGAATTGGGTTCATGGGAACACCAATACCCCATGACCGTCCCTGAATGGGAGACACCAATACCCCATGACCGTCCCTGAATTGGGTTCATGGGAACACCAATACCCCATGACCGTCCCTGAATGGGAACACCAATACCCCATGACCGTCCCTGAATTGGGTTCATGGGAACACCAATACCCCATGACCGTCCCTGAATTGGAGACACCAATACCCCATGACCGTCCCTGAATTGGAGACACCAATACCCCATGACTGACCCTGAATGGGAGACACCAATACCCCATGACCGTCCCTGAATTGGAGACACCAATACACCATGACCGTCCCTGAATGGGAACACCAATACCCCATGACTGACCCTGAATTGGGTTCATGGGAACACCAATACCTCATGACCGTCCCTGAATTGGAGACACTAATACCCCATGACCGTCCCTGAATGGGAGACACCAATACCCAATGACTGACCCTGAATGGGAGACACCAATACTCCATGACCGTCCCTGAATGGGAGACACCAATACTCCATGACCGTCCCTGAATGGGAACACCAATACCCCATGACTGACCCTGAAAGGGAGACACCAATACCCAATGACTGACCCAGAATGGGAACACCAATACCCCATGACCATCCCTGAATGGGAGACACCAATACCCCATGACCGTCCCTGAATGGGAGACACCAATACCCCATGACCGTCCCTGAATTGGGTTCATGGGAACACCAATACTCCATGACTGACCCTGAATGGGAGACACCAATACTCCATGACCGTCCCTGAATGGGAGACACCAATACTCCATGACCGTCCCTGAATGGGAACACCAATACCCCATGACTGACCCTGAATGGGAGACACCAATACTCCATGACCGTCCCTGAATGGGAACACCAATACTCCATGACTGACCCTGAATGGGAGACACCAATACCCAATGACTGACCCTGAATTGGAGACACCAATACCCCATGACCGTCCCTGAATGGGAGACACCAATACCCCATGACCGTCCCTGAATTGGGTTCATGGGAACACCAATACTCCATGACTGACCCTGAATGGGAGACACCAATACCCCATGACCGTCCCTGAATTGGGTTCATGGGAACACCAAAACTCCATGACTGACCCTGAATTTGAGACACCAATACTCCATGACTGACCCTGAATGGGAGACACCAATACTCCATGACTGACCCTGAATGGGAGACACCAATACACCATGACCGTCCCTGAATGGGAACACCAATACCCCATGACTGACCCTGAATTGGGTTCATGGGAACACCAATACCTCATGACCGTCCCTGAATTGGAGACACCAATACCCCATGACCGTCCCTGAATTGGAGACACCAATACCCCATGACCGTCCCTGAATGGGAGACACCAATATCCCATGACTGTCCCTGAGTTTGAGACACCAATACCCTATGACTGTCCCTGAATGGGAGACACCAATACCCCATGACTGACCCTGAAAGGGAGACACCAATACTCCATGACCGTCCCTGAATTGGAGACACCAATACCCCATGACTGTCCCTGAATTGGAGACACCAATACTCCATGACTGACCCAGAATGGGAACACCAATACCCCATGACTGACCCTGAAAGGGAGACACCAATACTCCATGACCGTCCCTGAATGGGAGACACCAATACCCCATGACCGTCCCTGAATGGGAGACACCAATACCCCATGACCGTCCCTGAATTGGGTTCATGGGAACACCAATACTCCATGACTGACCCTGAATGGGAGACACCAATACCCCATGACCGTCCCTGAATTGGGTTCATGGGAACACCAAAACTCCATGACTGACCCTGAAGAGTATAATCAAACACTATTTATGCGTTTGAGTATTTTGTATATACCAACAACGAATGCTTAAAGTTAAATGTAAAAATATGTATGTTAATTTACGACTGCGATCATTGATCGATTGTTGATTGCTTTTTCAAACAAACAATCAAACTTAAATTCTCAACACTGACAATAATTCCTAAATGGGATTCTGTACTGCATTACTTGGATGAATAGTGATGACAGGTCACATACACTACTGAAAATAGGCATGTCAATCACTGGATTGTCTGGTACAGACTCATTTACTTACAGACCGCCGTCATATAGCTGGAATATTGCTGAGTGCAAACAACAAATAAACAAACAAACAAACTGAAGATAGGTCAAATTCAATATCCAGCAAATATAAAGGAAATCACATAATGCTCACAACTCAAATTATCAATATGAAAAGATGAATCATTAATTATAAAATTGTCTCCTAAACCAAGGTAGCAGAATGAATACAAGCCATAAACCAACAACCTTACAAGAACCCATGTCTGAGGACCTTCCTGAAGTCTGTAATTTGTGGAATGATAGACACCTATGAGTCTGACAACTCATGACATGCTCCATCCAGCTTCAGTTAGACCGGTTGCCCTCATCCAGGCAGAGATTAGATTGTCTTAGGTCAGTAAGTCACTATCATATTTTAACTAACCCACCACCACCACATTATAATTATGTAACATTTATTTCATGACCCCACCCCCATCCCCCATCCCCCATCCCCCATCCCATCCCTGAAAGAAATGACAAGTCCATAAATACTGTTCAAATTTATAAATTTTATATTTGAAAAATAGAACTCTTTCATTTTGTCATGCTCTCCTTTCTCCCCTCCTCACATTTTTGTGAACCATCAAACACACACACACAAACACCCTCCCCTCCAAATCTTACGTCCTCCTCCCCTGTAATATATGACCAGTCCCTAATCAAAATAATAGTGATTCAAAATGGACTACAACGCTATTTAGAGGTATCATCGTTTTCATATCATTCCCACGTGAACCCGAGACCCACATATCAGCCCTCTGACGCTGTGACTTTCCGTCATCGGGCTGAAATGATGGTTTCGGGCTGGTATGGCGTATGATATAAAAACGGCCGTATAATAACCTGTTTATTATATACCATAACATAATGTTGTAAAATGAATCTATTTGCAAATGCATGTAATACATTTGCACCTTGTTTCGAAGACGCTGTCACGGGAAAGCTGGCCGAGCAGACGACACTCTAAGGGACGTAACTCCAATTTATTACTTGCCCGTGAAGAGATCACCCGTTTAATAAACATACAGCTGTATTACACATTGTGTAATACCAAAACGCGTGCTTATGTACTTTTGGAACATGTTTCACGAACAAATATTGAAAACTCTCAACATCCCTTGGCTTATTCAACGACATTGCGTATGGAGTTGATAGATCACTGAGAGGAGCTTATGTACACTCGATGACCCCAGCAACCTTGTTGCTAGGCTGACGTCACATGGCATTGTTTCGCCGATGGATCTTGCAACAAAATTCCACAATTTACGTCATTGGGTATTGTGACGTGAGTGTAAATTTTGAGGTGCAAGGCCCGTGGCACAAGGCGATCGTATTGTAGCGCAACGACAGTCGTTAGTCTAAGTTAAAGTATCTGATTTGCGATTAGACCTACGATAATTTTGTGGAACGGACGCCTGAATTTTAAAGGTGGACCGTTGGATGGTATTAAATTCATACGTTTCAACTTTTGACGTGTTTGAAGTATTATTCTGTTAAACTTAATTTGAATATGCCGTGGATCGTGTAGGTGTCAGCCTATTCATACTCAACAGTATAATTCTAAAAACGTTATAAATGGCAAGTAATAAATAAAATACTAAACTCGCTCCCGTGTAAAACCAATTTTATGAAACTCGTGAATAGTTGTGGTATCTAACTCGAAACTATTCAGGAGTTTCATAAAATTGGTATTACACGGGAGCTCGTTTAGTATTCTATATTTCTTACCACCCGGGCTGTTATCAATGTCAAAATGCATTGACGGGGGCCTGAAGGCGGGGGTGTAATACGAATCTGGTTAATACAACCCCTGTGATATGGCCGTCTCTGTGGTGGCTCCACCGCACATGCAAAATGTCTCATATCATTGATGAGTATATGACAAATAAATGAACAACCAACATTTAAAGTGGAAATGAATGGGTTTAGCTCAAGGCTTCTTTGAACAGTATTACAAATATATCGGTGTATTAAATCCAGCTTAATGTGAGAGAAAATTCCAAATGCTGTGCAGGTTGTAGAAGTACACCAGTCTGGGGAAATCTATAAGGACGGGTAAGAAGCTGACAAGCCATGGGACTCGAACCCACAAACCGAGTATCATTATTGGGACAAACGCACGGGGACCACCAGCATGGCTCATATTTCATATTTGTGTATTTAGATACAATAAGCATGACAATGGTTGTCCATTTAATAAGAACTGCGGTTTTCTATTGAATGCAATCTAAAAGAGAAAATAATCCTTTTAATCTGTATTTAGAAACAAATAACACTATAATAGACACACACACACACACACACACACACACACACACACACACACACACCAGTCTGGGGAAATCTATAAGGACGGGTAATAGTTGGGGCCCTTAGGGATATTTTGGTGCAGATTCTTGCAAAAGCACCAAATTTGGTACAGATGTTGGTTATACCATACTAATTCGATATCTGCCGGGCCCCACGAAGGGCGAGGTCCGGGGCCGCTATTTTGGCTAAAAACAAAATGGCCGCCACCATGATTGGCGGTCGATCATTGGTCAATAACTAATCGGCCTAGAATCACATGTAATACCACTTTTTAGGGGTATTTTGGGTCAGGGAATCCAATTATGATATTATTTCAATGATTCGAGGTCAAGGTCAATCACCAAGGTTTCTTAAAGGTCAACCAGGGTCAAAACCTAGTAATGAGGAGCTTAGGGGACATTTTGGATCACATTACCCTTTAAAATGAACTAAAATTTATCGAGCTGTCGATGTAACAATGCCATTTGTATTTATGGCGGGAGTTATGAAGGGCGGCCATATTGGCTAAATCCAAAATGGCCGCCATCCGGATCAGGGTCAGTCATAGGTCAAAAACTAGAAGGCCTAGATTCATATGTAATACCACTTTTGATAGGTTATTGAGGTCAGTGAATTCAATTCTGGTATTATTTCACTGATTTAAGGGCAAGGCCACCCCTCAAGGTCACTTTTGAGGCAATTTTAGGATCATTTCCGGGTGAGATTCAGTACATGAAAACAAATCAGTCATTTTAAACGATATCCCAACCAAATTTCAAAACAAAGAATGATATAAACAACTTGTTTATTAACAACCTTTTATCAGACATTACACTAAGTTCTCAGACATTACACTATCAGAGTACATTGTATACATTTAATGGTGAGAATTAACCTATTTTTTTATCTGTCTCTTATGTTTAGTCACTTCCCTCGACATTATTATTGCAACCTCCCTCGCATTTACAAAGAGATGTGCATCGTACTCCAGCACGGTAGCATTTACATCGTCCGGCGCATGCCTTTATGCAGCCACAATGTAAAAGGATTGCACATGCATTTGACGCATCACTCAGTGTCGTCCACAGCGGATGCCATGAGTTGCCATCAGTCTTGTGCCATCCCCATTCGCTGAAGTCAGGGATATCCTGCTGTGCCAGATTGGCCTGGCTCCAGTAGAAGCATGCTTGTAGAAGTGCTCGTTTAACATGTTGTAATAGAGCGGCTTGGGTCGGTGGCAGACTTCTAGGGATTTGGTCCCACTGGTGAATAGTGTATGCCTGGCGTCATTAACCCGAGCAGCTCCACATCCCTTGCTATACATCAAGACGGTGAATCGTTCAATGACCTTCATGTGTGCTGACTCGAGACTGAATAGCGTAGGTTCAGCTGCCAGAGCCAATAATGTTTGGGTCAGCTCTGGACAGCTGTTCCAGGCTGCCCATGCAGTTTTCTTACCACATCCAAGGAATTGTGATGTGGTATCACATCCTGTAAGGCTGTGAAACAGTGGTAATGCCAGGGACGCAGACATACCTAGATCTGATGAGATCTGGTGGATAGGAATGTCACGGTAGTTTTTTCCACTTCCAAATCCAACCCAGAGCTCTGAGAAACCAAGGGTGGCGAAGAATCTGAGGGTGAGGACGACGATGTCACTGTCAACGGTGCGCACAAAAGCGATTTTGTGCCCCTGTTGAGCAGCATGCATGAGATGTAATATGATTCGCGTGTCGGCCTCGGAATGGTTGCATGGCGTTAGTCCGGTGATATCGGAGTCGCTAGTGTTCGTGAGGACAGTTTCAAAGTGGGTTGTGATGAGATTTACTCCGGCCATGTCATCACTCTTACATATCTCTCTGCTGATGAAAGAGAACAATTCCTTTTTGTTCGCAACATTTTTCAGGAAACCGCTATTCCAATCCCGCTTTGGGACTGGAGTCTTGCCATCAACAATTCTCGTTCGTGGGCCGTTTCCACGTCGCTGTTGTGTGAGACCTTTCAGGTTATTGTCCTCTGGATATGTATCCCATACAGCATCAATGCGTTGGACACTAGTACCGTTAACTTGTGACTTCAAGAACGGAATGATGTGGAATGACACATACTCATTAAACGTCTTTGCTCTTGTTGGACGAACTAGATGAATCACTGCAGCCATATCAAGGACAGCAACCGTTGCTTGTTTGACAGCATCTGCACGGCCAGTTGGTACATTGATACATTGAAGAATATCTGACTTTGTTCCAGATCTTAGTGATCCTCGATCTGCCAAGCTTGGTGGTTCTCGCTGATTTTCAAACTGAAAGAATTCCCGGATATCGGCATCGGGTCGCGACTGCAGTGACAGAAAAAGCTGTGTGACTAGGGCCATGCTTTGCTTCTGCGTGCTGTTATCTCGCTTGCCTGTTTTCTTGAGATCAGGCCGGTTGGCAAATGTTAACATGCTGTTTCGCTTGATGATATCGAACACAGGTACTAAAGTTTCTTCCAGCCTTTCCGAGACATATGTTGCATGAAGCACTTGACCTGTTTCGTGCATTTGTGCCAGTGAGGTGGCGACGGCTGGATCCATGACATTCTGTGTGTCTAGTGCAACAAGCTCTTGGGTTGTAGCGAGGAAGGGATTCCCCAGCTGTTCAACGACCTTGACAAATGCTAGTACATCCTTTCGAAACCTGACCTGCAAGTTGTGACCTTCCTCATGATGAGCAGTGGATGTCGATGTTGGTTCATGAATGGCCTCAAACTCTTCAACTATCCGAGCACAGTCTGGTCCTGCTAGCATGAACAGCATAAGGGCATCAGAATTCTCATATAGTCCCGATGCACCACCATGTGCCTGTAGGCTTTTATTTGACTGTTCGTGAGACTGGTCCTTTGCCATGAGGCTGAACTTTTTAGCTGACTTTTGCACTACGAAATTGCCCTTCATGAACTCATCATATATGTCCGGGTGCTTATCAGCCAGCTGAACCATGTCGCGTACATGTACTCGCAACCAACGTGCGTAGTTTGTATGATCCAGAGCATGAAACCACGCACAAAGTTTGTCACATACAATCACATACAGTGTAAAGTCTCCCTCCCGCAAAGACCGTACAAATCGAGTCATCAACAGCTCTAATTCTACTATCGTTGACCAGAAGTTGAACTGAGGAACGTCATGGGCATTTTGATTCCACATTTCGAATGACTTCGCTGGGCCTACTTCAGTCATGCAGTACTCTGAGTAGGCGTTCTGCTTGAGCAAATACAGTCCAATCAAGGATACCTGATGGGCATACCGCGTGCGCTTGATGTGATGAGTGGCACCATTTTGAATTTGGCCCTTCTTGGCGCTTGGCAGAAATTCAATGAGCACTGTTACATCAAACAGGTCAACAAGTTTTAACAAATTTCAATTCATTTTGGATGGAAATGTGATCCAAAATATCCAATAGCTCCGCATTACAAGGTTTTGACCCTTGATGACCTTTAATGGACCTTGGTGATTGACATTGACCTCAAATCATTGAAATATTATCAGAATCGGTTTCCTTGACCCAAAATACCCCTAAAAAGTGGTATTACATGTGATTCTAGGCCAAATAGTTATTGATATATGATCGACCGCCAATCCTAGTGGCGGCCATTTTGTTTTTAGCCAAAATGGCGGCCCCGGACCTCGCCCTTCTTGGGGCCCGGCAGAAATCGAATTAGTATGGTATAACCAAGATCTGTACCAAATTTGGTGCTTTTGCAAGAATCTGCACCAAACAGCCCCAAAATCCCCCTAAGGGCCCTAACTATAAGAAGCTGACAAGCCATGGGACTCGAACCCACAAACCGAGTATCATTATTGGGACAAACGCACGGGGACCACCAGCATGGCTCATATTTCATATTTGTGTATTTAGATACAATAAGCATGACAATGGTTGTCCATTTAATAAGAACTGCGGTTTTCTATTGAATGCAATCTAAAAGAGAAAATAATCCTTTTAATCTGTATTTAGAAACAAATAACACTATAATACACACACACACACACACACACACACACCCCACACCCCACCCCACCCCACCCCTTACACCCCATCCGACCCACCGACCCCCATGGTTGTCCCCGCAAACATGGCAAAGTTTTCCATTGAATCCAGTCCAACAGAGAAATTAATTTCTCACAAAATGTTTTGATATAAAATTAGCATAACAATACTTGTATTGTGTCAACGCACAATGTCTACAGCTCAGATTTCCTTGCAATGACTTCAGTCGGGCAGAGTTATCTGCCCCTAACGAGATATCAAAGTCCAATCACCGATTTCGAGTGTCAGTGGTTGACAGCGTGGGTGACTGCAAGCAAGATGAACGTAATTGTTGAGACAGTTGTCGTCCTCTTTCAGGTGGCCTACTTATGGCTCCAAGCTATAGTGCTGGCTTTCATACCAGCAAGCTACAGAAGCAAGGATGTGGCTGGCGAGACGGTGCTCGTCACAGGAGCAGGTGACTTTTCATTTGCCGAGACACCAGGCTTAAACAGTGTAGTTCATTGCAGCCTTCTGTGCAACTTATTATACATGTCATATGCCTATATGTCTAAATTATGTCCGGGTTCCAATGCGTTTTCCGTATTGAGATTTCACGTGCATGCCCCCTCATAAAACAAGTTATTTGGGTAAATGTTTGCACATGTTTCAAATTAATGAGAATTTACTATTATCAGTTGTTTTTCATGTTGTTATGAATATGTGTTCATTAGCTGCACCAATTTAATTTCCTGTTCAACAGATTTTCTTTTTCAACATTCTTTTATATTCTCTTTATTTATTTTACGTTTTCAAAATAAGAAATTATATTGGTCTTCCCTTTGTAGTGAATTAAAAAGTTTATTTAAGTGTAAAAATATGATGCCATTTATTTCCCTATAGTGTTTCTTAGGGTTTAATTGTGTCACGTACCTTTACAATATCTTGTCATGAATCGCTGCAAGATTACTAATTTGGCAATAACCAATACTCATTTTCACACTTTACAATGTGTAGCCTAGACTCATTCATGATCTATGTAATTTTCAGGAAGTGGTTTAGGCAGACTGCTGTCTATTCGATTTGCACGCCGAGGGTGCCGGCTGATATTATGGGATGTCAACACCCAGGGGATGGCAGAGACAGCTGAAATGTTACGCAAACTAGGCTCCGTACCAATTGCATACACAGTTGATTTGTCGAAAAAAGAGCAAATTTACGATACAGCAGAACAGGTGTGAATTTTGCAATTTATTTCAATTCATTCATGTTGTAATGTGTGCATTAATTAATTATGTCACTGACACTCCCAAAACAGCTAGCTTGCTTTCACTATGTGAAGTGGAATGATCTGGACCCCCTTGTACCAAATGATCTTAGCGCTACAGATATCGTAAGTCAATGTCAGAGCATGGGAGTTGCGATCGGTGTAGAGCTAAGATCACTTTGGGAGAGTAGATCCTGGCCAGCAATGGCGTTATGATGGTATCCATGTTTTGCTGTGTCATACAAGGAAAAAAGCAGGCCTTGAAAACAGATCAGAGTATTCGAGTTTGAACATGTAGAGGGTCCATTAATGAGAAGTGTATCCTGTGTTAAAGACAGACATCTGAAAATCGTGATTCTTTTCCTTTTCATGCACAATGATAGGTTTACTTATGTAATAGAGTGATAGAACACTATCAAATCTAAGTATCCTAAATGGCTTCATACAGTGACATTTTAAGCCTGTTAAAAATGTTACCAGGTGAGCTACATTGCTATCACGTTTTTGTAAATAAATGTATGGTAGCACAGTCATGGAAGAGTTCCAAATATCAGTGTGTTATAGATATTCATTTAACTAGAAGTACTGTTTGGTCTAAAGGTCAATTGTTGAAAAGAAGAGTCCCATGATAACACAGGCTAACAATATGACACTCGAGTCAGCAAATTCAGCATCTGTCATCTGATAATGCCTTAATTGTATATACAGTTTTACAGATGCACATTTTGTTCATAGGATTATTAAAGCATATTTATCATGTTAGATTAAAGTTATTTGTCCTACAAAATTAAATTGTGAATTCATTTATTTATTTTCACCCTATCATGATTTAAAAACTGCTGACATCTCAGAAAGTTGATTCATAAGTAGTAAGGTAACCTTCCCATTATGTTAAAACCATTTTCACATCGGTAAAGGACCCATGACGATCGTGGGTAGAATAGGTCTTCAGCAACCAATGCTTGCTGTAAATGGCAACTATGCTTGTCGTAAGAGCTAGGCCGACTAACAGGATTTGGTGGTCAGGCTCGTTGACTTGGTAGATGCATGTCATTGTATCCCAATTGCCTCAGTCCATGCTCTTGATGTCAATCACTGGTCCAGATTCAATTATTTACAGACTGGAATATTGCTGAGTGCGGCGTTAAGCAACAAACAAAACAAAACAAAAAAACATTGGTAAATTTTAATATGATAATATATCTGGTATCTAGTCATGAAATATATGTTTACTTTGTTGTGATGTGTCAGTTATTTATTGGTGTTTTTGAAGGTATAAATTAAAATCTAATCAGGCTTAAACATTTCATACTGGAACCTATTGGAATCTGGCAGGTGTTGATATCAGCAAATCTTTTATGAAAGCACATGAATTGAATTTTTAACAGCTTTGGAAATTAGAGAATTTGGCGATCATGCATGTAATGCCTTATCAGGACTGAACAATGATATCAATCTATTCCTGTTGGTGATATTGTTGATAATGAAAGAATTGTATAAATTTATATAGTAATTGTAGATAAAATTTGATGGCGCTGAATATACAAAGTCTCATTGCATGTATGCCACACTCTATTGAAAGAAAGTGAGCTGATGTTATTGTGTTTGTCAACAATACAACCTTCTGTCTGTTGTAAACGCTTACATTTTCAGCTCTCATATAACCATCCTTATGATGGTGAGCTTTGTGTCATCTGTCTGCCACTTCTCCAAACTCCATGAAAGGGAGATCCTGAAACTGCATCAAAGTCTAACTGACATGGCATTAAAAATCAAAATTTACAATTCTTGTTTAGATGAAATAATGACAATAGCCCTGAATAGTAGCCTTTAAAACCTTCATGTTATAATGTTGCAAATATTCCAGCCAGACTCAGGTGAGCTACAGAGCCACATCTCTGTTTTACGGCCGACTAGATGGAAATGATCCAGGATTCAGTGGGAGAGTTGGGTTTAATGCCGCTTTGAACAGTATTCCAGTTATATCACTGTGTATTAGCTTAATGTGAGAGTATGGGCATGTAAACATGATCAGGGCGAAACAGGATTCAAACCCACAATCATAGGTTTCCGATGTGCTCAAGGGACGCAACACAGCAAATTGTGCATCTTAGATGACTGGGCCACTCATGCCTCTGAATGTTTTGGGAATACCCAGTAATATATACTATTCAAAAAGAGTTAAAGAACACTTGATTTTTTCAAATTACTACAGTTAATCTCTCACAGCGACTTCCTGCTTTTATCTACTTCACTGTTGTTTGTTCCTGTTCCCTGCATGGGTGAAAATTCATGCTATCACCCACTGGTTGACCTCTACAAAACAATAACAACAACAAATTTCACATGCTTATTTCACAGATTTTCTGAAGGCAATTAATGTCAATCTTTGATGATGTATGCAGGTAGAGTGGATTGATGACTATAAGATGTTTTTGTTTCTGTAGGTCAAGAGAGATGTTGGTGAAGTTGACATTCTTGTGAACAATGCTGGAATCGTAACTGGGAAGAAGTTTCTTGAATGTAAAGATGAGTTGATTCAGAAGACGATGGATGTCAACATCATGGCCCACTTCTGGGTGAGCCAGATCAGAGAATGAGTCTTTTGTTCCAGTCACGGCTGAGTCAACTTAATCCTCAGTGGCCAATAGGACAATACATGATGGTAGTGCACAATGGCAAATAGACATTTTTGGGGTTAGCAGAGGTGATATCTTGAGATGTATCTAAAATAGCCCAAGACAAGTGGTTTATTTAAGAAAAATACATTTCTTCGAAAACTTTCAAGTCGTTCTCAATACCCCAGGTAAGATTAGTCCTGTTTCATCTCCTCCTACTCCAGCAGGATTACAGGACAACAATAACTGCAAGGGGTCACTTCTGAAGGCATTGTGTCTTGATATGGTTTCAGACTGTCAAGTGTTTCGTTCCCGGGATGCTGGAGAGGAACCATGGCCATATTGTCAACATTGCCAGCGCTGCTGGTATTTCAGGGGTGAACGGTCTGGCAGATTACTGTGCCAGCAAGTTTGCAGCAGTCGGCTTTGATGAATCACTACGTATGGAATTCTTGTCAATGGAAAAGACTGGGGTCCACACCACAGTTATCTGCCCCTTCTACATCAACACGGGCATGTTTGAGGGAGTGCAGACAAGGTACAGTGTTAGCTTCGTCAAATCTTAAGGAAGACTCTTGAAGGACTGCAGTCAACTAGGCCTAGCTCATCTTCCCGAGGCAAGGGAGCTCACTGAGTATACTGGACTTATATAGTCAGTTAATGCCCTTGCCTCAGGAAGGTGGGCAAAACTATACAGCACTTATTGGCTCTGGCTCTTGCTAGACTGATCTTCCACGTCTCCCTGATCCTTAGGGTTAGTTGTGTTAGGGTTAAGGTGGATTACCTTCAGCTCTATCTTTGGCCATTTCTGATCAAGCACCCCTTACAGTCGCTTGGGTTAGGCACCTCTTTCCAATGAAACACCCCTTCACTATCTATAGGGTTGGGCATCCTCGCAAAAACCCCTACACTTTCTATATGGTTGGGCATCCTCGCAAACACCCCTTCACTATCTATAGGGTTGGGCATCCTCACTAATCAAACATGACCATCTTCGCTAATCAAACATCCCTTCATGAGCTATAGGGTTGGGTATCTTTGCTAATCAAACATCACTTTATGATCGTTAGGATTAGTTGTGATTTATAGTTTTGGTTAGCAATCCCTTTAAACTCTTTTATCCAATGTTATCCTAGGTAAATATGTGCAATTTTTCATCAAATTTCGAGTTTCTCAGAAAAAGGTGCTCTTAGCACTAGGGCTGGGACGGGTAACTCGGGTACCTGGATCCAACTCAGTACCCACCCGACCCGGGTACTCTAGTTAACACAGCCCTAGTGCTAAGTACACCTTTTTCTAAGAAACTCGAAATTTGATAAAAAATTGCATACGACAACCTCGACCCTTGGTTAGTCACGTGATATATTGTTAAATGACAAAATTATATAGAACTCTATGGTCACTAACGTTGGCATTTCTTTCTGACTACGCACCCATTCCTTCTGATTTTTCATATGGTTGAATAAAGATATAACTTAATTCAACTTCAGTTTATGAATGACCAGATTGTTTAATATAATATCTTAATGCTTTTTGCCAGGGCTATGCTAAAAATGTTCCCAATCGGACATTTTGAGACATTTCCTGAAACCTACAGTGGGTACCTGGGTAGGGTCGGGTAATAGGGTGGTGGGTACCCAGGTAGTAAATTTGGACTCGTCATAGCCCTACTTAGCACATGCTCACAAATGTACAATCTGGAGTTGATGACTGTGTGAGCAAGCACTAATGATTGGAGGGAGTGCCTGAGGTCCCACAGTAAAGTGTTGGCTAACTAACTCAACAGCTCCAACCTAGCTTCAACCTGGCAATGCAAGGTCAATCCTCCTCTATCTTTACGGACATATCCAGAAAGCCCTAAATTAACTCAGTAGGACCAAAGATGTATATGCACAAATCAGACTCTTGTCAAATTAGGATTTAGGTGAAAACTTGACTTTTTCTCCCGTCCCCTCAGTTCCTTTATAAATAAGCATTACTCAAAGTGACCTACAATTCTCTAATTCTGACTATCTACACTTTGGACTAACATTATGGTCGCAACAACCAATTTACTATTGAAAAAAAAGCTGTCGTAAGTCAGATTGGACAGGACCTGGCTGGGCCGGGCCAGACCTGATGTTTTCTCGCTTTGAAGTAAGCTCAGTCACTCTCAGCTCAAACAACAATGCTAATCCTGCATGTAATCCTATTCATCTCAACATTTTGTCTGCTTAGTAATTAGAATTTAGTCAACTGTTAATGAGAAACTCAGTTTATTTAGTTTAACTCAGTGTCATGAGTGAGAAGATTGGCATCAGTGAGCAGACTGTGTCAGATATATATATCATTGCTTTTCGTTTTGTCTTCTGTCCCAACTTTTGTAGTGTTATCCAGACCTTGTCGTAAACCAGACTTTTTTTACCGATCCCAAATGAGTCTGAATGGGACAGATTCCACTGTACTTTTTTAAACATCTTTGGTAGTACCGCTACCCACATCCACTTGTCAGATAAAGGAACTAGCATCTGTGAACAATTAAATTGACGTCCATAAGCCTACCCTGTCTGTAATGAATCTTCAATAAAGGAAATTGCTTGTTTCAGATTTCCCCTGCTGCTGCCCATTCTTGACCCGGACTACGTCGCCGACTCCATCATCAACGGCGTGTTGACCAACACTCATATTGTCATGCTTCCTCCTGCTATTGCTTTTGTGGCAGCTTTGAAAGGGTAAGAGGCAGTCCGTTATATCAGTATCGACATGCATTTTAGGGTCTGCTGTAAAAATGTAACTGGTAAGCAGTGAGGCGCTTGAAATAATAATGAAATTGTTTTGGAAATTGCTTGACAGTAAGTTGACATTGTAGAACTGTCTTAATGTGAGTTCCAGAGTTTGATTTTGTGCCTTATTTTTATTTACTCAAAATAGTTATTCTCTAATGTCATATATGTCATATACATATCATATATTTTTTTGTTTCCAATAGAAAAAAGCATTGTTGGATATTGAAACAAAAAATTGCCTCACTTCTGACAGGAAGTAATAAAAAGGTTACCGTACAATTTTACAGGGGTATTAGATGTTAAGAAATCCAACAGCTTTCTAATATTCGGGTCAGGTCAAATTGATATATGACCCTTGCTTGTTGTAAAATGTGATATGCCCAAACATTCTGATAACCTACACAGCCTCATGGCGCTTAGAGCCCAATGACACCTTTCAGCAATATCTGTTTGTGTTGGTGGGTGAGTAGATCATGCCTGTTTCAGAATCATACCAGTCAAATGTGGGATGATCCTGAGCAACTTCTTCGGTGTCAACCACACCATGGATAACTTCAAGGGCCGACAGAAGAGGGACTGAACAGAGGGCACACTTTGTTATTTCAGGGACATTCAGAAAGCCTGGTCCAGACCAATTTCATATTTATTTGAGCAGATTTTCTAGGCCATGGATACCTCTAGTCTCATCTGTAAAACATGATGTGGTTGGGACAAAGTCAGTAGTAGATTTTGTTCAGTCCTGGTGTTTATGGGTAAAGCTGAGCATCATGTTTGAATCATTATGATCCCCAAGAGAAATCAAAGCAATACAAAGAGCATTACCATGATTCCAATTTCTATTTTTTAGCACTGTTAGAACAGTTAATATCAATAAGAGGACTCGCCACCTACATTACGCCACCAATCCAAGACACTTCTTTGATTATCCAGTGTATTGTATTCCCAATCTTAAAAACCATGAACCGCTTTACATCCACAGCTTCGTTTTGAGTCTGGTTCAAAGGGCGCAATGATACAAACATCCATCCAGCCAATTTTCTTTCACCATTGAAAAGCGATTTCACTACTATGTTTGTTTGTTGTTTCACGCCACACTCAGCGATATTCCCGCTATATGACGGCGGTCCGTAAGTAATCCAGTCTGGACCAGACAATCCAGTGATTGACATCATGAGCATCGATCTACACAGTTGGGATACGATGATCAACCAAGTCCACGAGTCTTACCAGCTGATCCCTTTAGTCAACTGATCCCTTTATTTTAACCCAGATCTTCATGGGTATTCACTATTATGCAACTCATATTGTTGCATAAGGACTTCCATTCCACTGTCTTAGTCCTCAGGAAAATATCTTTTGTCCTCCTTGCTGTTTGTTTATGACAGCCTTCTGATTTGTTTAACATAGGGCTGCCTCCTGTAGGGCCTTTACTTTTACAGTAGATTGTTGTCAAACTCTTGTTGAGATGAGGCTGTTTGTTTGTTGATTGCTAGATCATGCATGAGAGAAATGTGAAGTTCAGTGTTCTCAGTTCATGATAAGATATGAGATGTGGATGGTTACACCCTGTGGGGATTCACGGTAAGAATAGGTCCCCAGCTACTTTTGCTGGTTGTAAGAGGCGACCAAATGGATCGGGAGGTCTGGCTTGATGACTTGGGTCATTAACACACACTAACAGATGTTGACCTGGACGGCATGAATCGTTGCTCACAATATCAATCACACAATTGTCTAGTCAAGACTTGATCATTTACAGGCACTCTTTTATTCAGCTGGAATATTGCTGAGTGCAGAACTATAATGGACTGGATAATCAAAGATGGCTTTGACATAGCTAGAAGAATGTTTAGAGAGTCGTTTAAGTAAAACTGACTCAGTCAGTATGCTTGGGCATTTATGAAAACTAGCCTTCTAAATCGAAATTCTACCATGAATTTGGAAAATACTCGATTTTGATTGGTCAATCAGAGGTATCAAATCACAATAAACACCCTCTGATTGAAACCGCAGTTTTGAAGGCCACATCACTGCGAATCTAATGTTTTTAGAATAGTACTTCATTCACAGTTATTGTCGGTTGGCATATTGAAATAATTATATCTTCAATTATAGGCTACAAAATGCAGTGTTGCAGTTACCACAATATTTAAACAATGTGTGGCAATACAATCCATGCACAAAACACGATAGAAATGCACAGAGAGCTTGCTATTTGGTGCTTTTCTATATACGACTGTGATGTCATATCTTTTGCATCACAATGAGCGATATGATGTCAAAAAGTGACATGCGGTGAAGAATGAAAACTTTGCAAGGCCTGCTTAGTTTTCTTTAGGGTAACCTCAGGTTAGCTTACGAAGTTGCCATGCTAAATGTTTCAGTGCCTGTCATATGTTTCTCAGTGCCTGTCATACGTTTGAGTAAAGTATTACAGTGTTAACAAACTGATTGAGTATATAGAGTGCCATATTTTGTTTAAAGGCTGTTGTGGGTGATTTTGTAAATTCTGATTGACAACCCACTCAAAACAATAGACTCAACCCATGCCTCTTCACTCAATGTATTTGCTAAGATCAAAGAGTTCATGTTTTATTTAGCCATGGTAGAATGGAGACATACACACCAGTATTGTGTTTTCAGTGTAGAGCTAGGTTACCTGAAGGTTTAACCATGCTAAATTGAATTTGGATCCGAATGCACAGCGTGAGGTTTCAAATGTTATATTTAACATGGTTAAATCTTCAGGTAACCTAGCTCTACATTGTAAACACAGTTCGTGTATCTCCTCATTAGTTGTCATGTATTTCCGGCCTCATTGTTTCAGTGAGTGGCCATTTGATGGTATTTAGATTATGAACTGCATTGTGAATTGGAATGTTTGTGAAATTTGCAGAACAGCTGCAACAGCTCTTGGCTTTTAATCTCAATTAACATCACTTGTGTAAAAGGCGACTATGCTTGTCGTAAGAGGCGACTAACAGTATCGGGTGGTCAGGCTCACTGATTTGGTTGATGCATGTCATCCTATCCCAATTGCTTGGATCGATGCTCGATCCTTGATTGATGTCAATCACTGGATTGTCTGGTCCAGAATCGATTATTTACAGACCGCCGTCTTATAGCTGGAATATTGCTGAGTGCTGTGTAAAACAACAAACAAACAACCAACCAACTAACATCACTTGTTTCCATGGCAACAAACAGTTTGATAAGAAAGGAACAACCTTTGAAACTGTTGCTTGCATCTTGTGATGTTTAGAAACAGTTTTGTATCAGTGCCTTACATGTGAATGGTTTCATGGAGGACTGTTTGCAGCTATGTTACCACAAAGTTTGCCATTTCTCAAAACCTTGCCACTGCATACCGGTATTATTTATTTTAAATAGCTGTATGAATAAAGGTACATTCAGCAGATGGATTACTTGAACTAGTTTGAAAGTGGATTATGTTTACGCTGCTTTGATTTTGAATATTTATGGTATGGTTTCAGAGTAGGATGAATATTTTGGTTGAAGTTATTTTAAAACATGACACTCATTTCAGCATTTTGATCCTATAAGTGTACCTGTGCAGTACAGACTGTATCTCACCTTAAAGGACATTCGTTTCAACAAAGTTATAATTGACAGAATGACTGTTTCTAAAACTGAAATATTGTGGACATGTGTGTGATATGTGTACAGTGGAAATCCTGCACACCTCTGTCATGTAAGGATTGTCGATAGCCTAGTGGTTAAAGCTTTGGCTTATGATGCGTTCAACTCCCCACTTTGGTACAATGGTCAGGCCCATTTGTGGTGTCATAATATGGCTGGATTGTTCCTGAAACCACTAACTCACTGTTTATATTGTATGTGATTATCTGGATATGTGATTTTTACAAGAGTGAGCAATTTACTGCACTGGTTAAGATTGTTTTTTAAGTTAACCTCACTTGTGGACAAATATCAACACTATTTCTACCCTGTATGAAGTTCAGAATATTCGGTTCATATGATCTTACCTGAAGAAGACATGGCTCGATTTAGCTGTATAAAACATGCTCATGTGCAACCAATTATTGAAACTTGCAACCAAATATTTATGTCTACATGCACCAAGTGTATGTAAATACAAATAAATTTTGGTTCTGACTAGCTCTTACTTGTCCACACCAAATCAATCTTTGAACACACTCAATACTCAGTAGTATATTTTTAACATGGTGCAACACCAATCCATGTGTTAGGCTTTCTAAGTCTTGACTTCATCGAACTATGGGTACTTCAAGATTATGTAACCATTACATTTTACAACAATGCGTCATTAATTTATGTGACACTGGCAGCAGACCGGCCTATGTTTCACCCTTGATACATTTATGGGACCGGGTGCAACCTGGTTTTGTCTGGTGCAACTTGGTTTTCATGTCAACATGCACCTGGTGCAGGTTAGATCAAATTTCTGAAATCGAGCCATGGAAGACATTGTATAGGATTTTTATGTTAAACAGGTTAATATGTATTTTGCTATTTGGTCACTGATTACTTAGAAGCAGTTCTTTGTGGTAAATGCTATGCGTCCAGGTAGGTCCAGTCTCACTGTGCAGGTTCACTTGCATAACCTCAAACATGTCTATAAACAGCTGTTGGTGTCTGTCTGTAAGCAGGGATCCCTGAAAGTACTCCGGTCATTAAGACATATGTTCGTGTCTGTTAATAGGGGCCCTGTCAACAGCTGTTGATGTATATTAATACAGGTCCTGTTAATAAGGGTCCTGTTAATAGTGGTCCTGTTAATAGGGGCCCTGTCCACAGCTGTTGATACATGTTAATAAGGGTCCTGTCAACAGTTGTTGATGTATGTTAATAGTGGTCCTGTTAATAAGGGTCCTGTTAATAGTGATCCTGTTAATAGTGATCCTGTTAATAGTGGTCCTGTTAATAGGGGCCCTGTCCACAGCTGTTGATGCATGTTAATAAGGGCCCTGTCAACAGTTGTTGATGTATGTTAATAGTGGTCCTGTTAATAGGGGCCCTGTCCACAGCTGTTGATGCATGTTAATAGTGATCCTGTTAATAGTGGTCCTGTTAATAGGGGCCCTGTCAACAGCTGTTGATGTATGTTAATAGTGGTCCTGTTAATAGTGATCCTGTTAATAGTGGTCCTGTTAATAGGGGCCCTGTCCACAGCTTATTGATGCATGTTAATAGGGGCCCTGTCAACAGTTGTTGATGTATGTTAATAGTTGTCCTGTTAATAAGGGTCCTGTTAATAGGGGCCCTGTCCACAGTTGTTGATGTATGTTAATAAGGGTCCTGTTACTAGGGGTCCTGTCATATGTTTTTTTATGAGTAAGTGCTGTTTTGTTTTTGTTATGATTCTGCAAATTTGTTAAATTTATATGTCTATCAAAACTGAATAAACAATGACAAATGCATGGGATTCTGGAGTAGAATAAGTCCTCACTTGTGGTGGACAAGTGGACACAAATATATCACTGATAGGCTAATTCAAACATTTTTAGACTCAATTAAGTGACGTAGCAGAGTGTTTTAAGCAGATAGAATTAACAGTGCCAAGTTGTATTCCTTAGTTGCCAGGATGTTGAATCATAGCCTGATTTTGATCCATGTATTGTCAACCGCCTCCATGGTATAGTGGTACGAGGATCTGTTCGGAGAACAGGTCGGTGGTTCCATCACCTGGCTACGTCATATCAAAATACTGTGAAATACTTGGCATTAAGGGGGTAGAACAAGGACTGGTCAGCATACTGTGTCTGAGTGGGGTATTCATGTTAAACTACGGCATGGTGTGGACTAACACTTTAAAAGTGGCAGTAGTTGGGATCATACAAGGGCACGCACGCACGCACACAGAGCTGGATACGAGGGCTGGTCAAACAGTTCTAAGCCTAACAAACAAAACCAACACTTGTGAAAGTGTTTTTAATTTTATTTTCCAATATAATCTCCATATTTTTAAATACACTTCTCATATCGATAGTAAAGCTTTTCAATTCCAGTTAGGAAGAAGTTTTCTGAAGCCACCCTAAAATAAACAATTCTCGGCAGCTTTGAGGTCATCGTTGTCGTCATAGAGCTTTCAACGAAGGTGTTCTTTCAGTTTAGGAAACAGGTGGTGCCACGTCCGGCGAGTATGAAGGGTGAGGAAGCTCTTTGACCCCACATTGTCGCACATCTGCCTTTGTAAGTCGAGAGGTGTGAGAAGAGGCATTGTCATGATGAGTAGAATTCTAGCAATCAGCATTCCTCGCCACTTTTCTTTGATAGAATCTCTCAGGTGATGAAGCAAATCAGCATGATGTCCGATGAAATTCCCTATTGACATTCCGCATATCATATGCAACCAACCATGTCGGATTTACAAGACTGTATGTTCCCGTGTACTTTTTTATTCATGTAAACAATTGACTTGTCTTTGCATGTGTTTGTGTCGGGTGCCACGGAAAGTATCGAGACGAATCAGCCAGCATAGATCGGACATCAACAGAAATGTTTCCAATTACTACTTCTTTCAATTCTGAAAATCACTCCATCCTTTTCATGAAAGCAAGCGTATTTTATTTACCACGCATCTAATAGCCTCAAATGCGTTCGACCTTATATGATGTCCAGAGAAAATCAATGAGTTCAACACTGTTATGTTAAGCAATGCCTTTGTAACCAACTAAAAGCCACCCAAAGGTGACGGCGCAGCCATGGTCACATGAAAAGACGAAGGCCAAAATATGCCATTGATTTTGAAGATTAGTTTCTCCTTCTGGACCCATTGGGACTGCAAGTAAGACTATATACTCTGTGTCGTTTAAAGAAATCAAACGACTCCAGCAGTCAACCGAAACAGACTTCACTCAATCAGGAAATACCGCATGTTCCTAAATTCGAAATACGCAAACATAAAGTAAAATTTTGGACAAAAACCACTCTCCCTACATGTACAAGACCCACAATACTTCAAATTTCCGGAACCAGCAACAGTTTCAGTTTCCTATACGAACACTCATGATGTAAAATTCTATTACTTGCGGCTGCCAAGGCTCATCTTAGTGCTACCAACCTGTTGGTCATACAATCACAGGTGATCACAGGTGAATTCTCTGTTGTTGACAGTCACAATCTTCGTCAGTTATTCAAACATGGGTCAACATATAGTGGATAACCTGCTACTGACTGGAATCACAACTTTAGAATACCCGTGAAGATCCGGGTAGGTATAGGTCTTCAGCAACCAATGCTTGTCGCGAAACCAACGGGATCAGGTGGTCAGGCTCGCTGACTTGGCTGATCCATGTCATCGTACCCAAATCGATCCTCATGATGTCAATCACTGGATTGTCTGTTTCAGACTCTATTGTCTTCAGCCCACCGCCATATTGCTGGGATATTGCCGAGTGCGACGTTAAACAACAAACAAGCAAACAAACGCAACATTAAAATCTTTATGGATGCTGTCGAAGCGTTCGTCAAAAAAACAGATCAGCCCGCAAGATGAACAAGTTGAATGTTTTGAATAGTGGGTTAAGTGCGTGATGTCATTGGTAGCATTGGTAGAAAATGAATAAACGATTGGAATAAACCCATTCTGTGCCAGCCAGCTGCCCTCCAAAGTCTGGCTTCCCTACCTGAAAAGTGTGTAGTTCCGACTGGCAAGGCCTCAAATTATTTAACATAACTATTGTGTGTAAGCACCACGACGTTAATTGTTGATCAACGGACTTCGTGTAAGTGACATATCAAATAATGCCACACATAAGACCAGTATGTTAACTAAGGAAGAACTCCGCTGAACTACGCATCAGTACTATCAGGTTTTGACTTGAATCTGAATGAGTGAGTGAGTTGGGTTTAACGCCGCTTTTAACAGTATTCCAGTTATATCGCGGCTTGAATCTGAAACCTGAAGATATGGTCATCGCTCTTTTGTCCTGGATTCCAAAGCTCCATAAAAACCCGTACAGATAGAGATATATTGTTGGGTCCAGCAAATGTACCACCAAATCCCTGTCTCAAAGACTAACCATAATCCTTAATACAGTCAAAGGATTTTCTTTATATTTACAGACAATTTTTGAGACAAGTCGGATCATATGTATTCTTAAAAACCCAAAGGCATTGCTTAAGTTTCGCAATCTCAGAAAAGAACTATCTTCAATTATGTCAAAACATTGGATTTTTTTTACTCTCGACCACTATCCCCAACGACAAACTTAAGAAAACACTGCATTCCTTGATCCATGTTTTACACTCACTAACAGTGGGGACTATGTATATATATAATTACATCTGTCTTCCAAGGTTCTAGAAAGTTTGTAAAACTATAAAGTAAATGTCATGTGAAGTTTAATGAGAAAGTAGTATGAGGAATGTTGGACTTCCTGATAGGTACCATCCATGTGAAATTTAGGGGCGAGACATTTTGTTAAGAAGTAAGCATGCCAATTGGGCAGCAGTTGTGTCCCCCTCCTAGCGTACACTTACCTGTTTCTTTGTGCATACGTGTGAGAATTTCTGCTCGGATTGTTAAAAAAAACAAGTGAATTTGGCCAAGACATTTAATTACAGCTTCATGTATATGAATGGTCTGACGTTCAATAATTGTCAAATGCCTTCCACTGACTTTCCCACCTGAGCTAGATGTGATGGAACTAGGGGGTTCACTTATCTGGACAAGGTGCCACAGTTTGCATTTTCCAAATAATCACAGAACAGGATATCTTTGTTCAACAATAACACTATCAATTTATTTACACGAATCAAACACTCAAATTAGCAAGTACATATATTAATAAATATATACATTATATTACTTTATAAATATACAATATAGAACATAAAAAAGCGCCAAAGATAAGTTTGTGGCAGCGTGTTAAGCTTCTGACATACTCCAATATCAAGCGACTCCTTCATTCACCGCTCATCTCAATCAAACTGATCTAACCGTAAAATCTGCAATGACGTAACAACCAGCTGATTGTCTCTAATAGTAAACAAAGCGTGACAAGTGAAACCGCCTCATATGTTTCATATTAAGACCTATGCATAAAGATTCTGAATGACAAACAACTCTCCACAAAGCTTATGACAATAGGGATGACTCTCCAAGAGTCAACTTCCCCAGCAAGTTCCAGCCATTGGTGACCATATTTCACAACTTGTGAGGTACAATCTTTCTGCAAAGAGCTCAAAGAGGGTCATCTGATTGTTACTGAAAATGTGGGGGCACGAGTGGCCCAGTCGTCTAAGGCGCACGATTCGCTGTGCAGAGTTGCGTCCCTTGGGCACGCCAGAAACCTATGGTTTGTCAGCACCATACCCGTGCTCGTGGGTTTCACCGAAGTGGTAAACGTCTGAGACCTGCATCACTTCGGGCTTTCCTCCCACATTAAGCTGACATGCCGCAATATAACTGGAATACCGTTAAAAGCGGCGTAAAAACCCAACTCACTCACTCTCTCACTGTTACTGAAAATGTGTTGCTTGAACATTTGAAAATGTAGCTCAATGCGGCATAAAACACTACTAAACTCGCACACTACTGCGGTTGCCCTATATGGTGTTTGCGAGTGATTATGCTTAGAAAATAATTGATGTGTTTGTCGTAATGGTTTTAGATGTACAATAATACAATATTTCTAAGGGTCACCCTGTCATGACAAAATAATACATTATACGCGATGGCGTGGAATACACACTTTTAGGTCTTCCTTTGACATAAATGATTAACACAGAAACACAACCAACTACAACTGTGTCGAAATGAAACAGGCGGTTGCACGTGCAGTCGAGATTTCGTGGGTACAAAAGTTGATGCATGTGGCGACGAATCACTCGGAGATGCGCAATGACAATGGACTAGTTCATGTTGTATGTAATAGGATAGGGGTGATTCTGCTATTTGGCTGAAATTGTTCGTAGAAATTAACTCTCGTTTAGAACAAAAGTGACGTAACAAGAATTATTTATATCATTTTAAAGACGTGTATCCATTTTTCAAGAGAGATAACAACACAAATTCTCATCATTTACAAAAAGCCATCATTGAATGCGAAATTTAAGTATCAGTGTAGTAAGATTTATGTATATTTCATATGTGAAAAATGAGAATAATTGACAATTAAAAAAACCTCCCTCAGGAGATCGTGGAGAACCCTTTGATCGTGGGTTCTAATCCTGAGTATGTTTCTTATCGATCTACGCAACTGGGGTATGATGACATGCATCAACCAAGTCAGCGAGCCTGACCACCCGATCCCGTTAGTCGCCTGTTACGACAAGCATGTATTGCTGAAGACTAACCCGGACCTCAACAGGTTATACAGGGGGCGGTGAGGAAGCCTAGTGGTTAAAGCGTTGGCTCGTCACGCCGAAGACCCAGGTTCGATTCCCCAACTGAATACAATGTGTGAAGCCCA